GAAGAATGAATAATAAATGATACCAACTAATGTGCTAGTAATGCGGTTATCATCGGGCTCGTGTTGCTCTTGTTGGGAAGCCATGAGGCGCTGATTCTTACAATGTTATATATTACACTTATTGCCAGAACATTTTGCGAATTGGAGTAAGAGAACAGGATCGGCCACATCGATCGAGTCTGGAAAGAGCTTTGGACCACAGAATCCTGCTTTTACACCTTATAAACAGGTTTGATGGTCTTGCACCTCAATTAATCAAAATGATGTCAAAAGATTTGCCAATGTCACGAATTATTTCTGATTCATGGACCTAATATTTGTTTCTTGCGTGTCCCATCAATGGCACATGTGCGTTTTTAATTTTTTAATTTTTAACTGTTCATTTGTTTACTTATTTTCTCTTCGGCGTGCAACCCTAAATTTCTGGTTCCCTCTACCTTCTTATAAATAACCGTGGTGGCCTGATATCATTTCCGTTTGGCGTTGAATCGGATATTGAAGATTGTGCATCATCCTTCACGTGCTGCGTGCGCGAAAATGATTGGAGTAAAAAGTTCCAGGATGTGTAATAGGTCATCGGCACTCATATCACTTTTGAGACATACAAATTATGTCAATTTTTCTTCCTTCCAGAAACGGTGTAGAATCCCGGAGTGAGGATCAGCTTCGAAGTATGAAAAATAGGATCCCCCAATGCCAAGACGCTCCTCGTAGATCCGCGCTAAATCCAAATAGGAATCCGTTCATTCCGTTCCATGGTTCAGGTAGGGCCTAGTTTTGAGCTTGTTTGCACCTCAGTTGTCAAAAGACCAAATGAGATTCTGGCTTCACGACGCATGTTGGCTAGAAAGATATAATGTTCCACTAAATATTACTAGTTGCGGAGAAAAACATGGTAATATATTTTTTGGCACTGCGTCATTTGCATATGCAAACTTCAGCACCCCCCCCTTTTTTTTTTAACTGGCACGAACAAACCTGGGTGCAAAACACGCTTGAACAAAAGGGGTAATTTTCAGCGTCAGCTACTGACTGGCTTCACTCCCCATTCAATCGGGCGTCACCAACTCAAAAAAAGGTTGCCTTGGCGCAAGGGTTCTGGTGATTCAATTATATATATTGCGGAACGAGCGGTGTGAAGGTGAAGCCGTTGCGGATGAATAAACTGTGGAAACATCTTAACCACTTGACCAAACATCTTCTCCGGATCTCTCAGACCAAAATTTTTATGCACTAGTGCTGGGGACTCAAAATCCATGCCCTATCCTCGCCAGGGGAAGGTTAGGATGCTGAATCAGCTATTACTGGTGATCTTATGTTCTAATTCCAACCAAAACGATATTTCTCCCTTCTAAGCTGGAGACGAAACTGCGGAGGCTAGAAGGTAACAATTCCAACAGGTGTGGCAATACCCCTGATACTAGGATATGGACTCTGTGCGCAAGAAAAAGGATGCGAGCTGTAGAAATCAGAGCCAATGAAAATAATCCGTATGGCACGTAATTCCCAAAAATTTGCGGAAGCACTTATTTCTACAGAAAAGGAACAATGCACAACTCATGTGAGCTGGGAAGGAGCTTACTTACCTAACGGGTTGCTGGATTTTATGTAACAATTCTGCCGCAATGATATATGTGATATATATTGAATTGTTTGTTTTCCCTGTCGTGCAAGCCTTTCGTGAAGCCTGAAGGCCGGTATCGTCGGCGTTTGACTCGTATTTGAGCTGGAATTATATGAGGACAGCACATGGCAGGCTTTTGTCTCGGACGGGGGATGTGGATGCCTTCATAGAGAATCTTTTCAGTGAGATCGATGTCGGGGTTGCGAGATCTCAATGATTAGAAATGCATGCCAAAAACAGTCTCAGCATAGTATTTTAAGGCCAGGGCTCATTTCGTCCTTTGGTCGATGGAGCCAGATGGCGAAAGTTCAAGGCTCAAAAAGTCAGTAGCTTCCTCCAGAGACATAGTCAAGCTTGCTGTAAGGGAGTCCATCTTCCCGAAATATGGGGGATTTCATCTCTTCAAATGTAGTGGTCAAGAGGAGCTCTGGGGCGTACAGCAAATTTTGCTATCACAACAGTAGACCAATCAAGTGAGAACTTCTTGGTAGCCTAAGGGACAGGAGTTCATCACACTTCATCCTTCCCGATGTAGCAATAGCAGCCTCAAATGTAAGTAGGTCAGCCTTGCCGTCCGTCATGTAAGAAAATACGGTGCTGACAGTCCACAACGCTGAGCGCTTCCGTGACTTCCAGGTAAAATAGACCAGTTGAGGCGAGCTATGCAACCTTTCGCCATAATTTGCTACCAAAGTTGCACATGCTAGCATGGCAGTCACAGAAGCTGGGCTCCTCATTCAGCGAGTCATGCGGCTGTAGACCGACTTATCTGTTGACAGCAGTTAGCTGAGAGCCCGTCCCGTAGCCCATCCATATCAACATGGAAAAGATTATTCGGCATCCAAGTATATATTGATAGGTGGTGTGAACAGAACCTGATCCTTTAAACAATCTTCAATTTGACACCATCAAATAAATTACCTATCCACAAGCCAGTTGATTTATAAACTGAATGGCCTCTTCTTTGTCAAAATGTCTAGCGATGATATCAGCAATAATACGTGCAATACTCGAACCTGCCTGGCGGCGGAAACGGATCTGGTCGCTATGATCAGAAAGACTTGTACCTTCGACCATTATGAACTATCAAACGCTTGTAGGGGGAATTTATTGCATGTTTTGGACATGCCCTCTACTCAGCAAGCAGTGAAGGAAGGAAACCATAGTATTATGGTCTACCTTGAGAATGGGACAGATATCGTGTTTGAGAATCGACGTCGGCCTGAAGACATCCCAGCAATTCGTACGGACGGGAAGACACAGGAACCGTGCCCTTTTGGCCCAAAGACATCCGAGGATGTCAGCAATGCCATCGTTTCTATCCTCGAAACATATCGAATGGCCCCAAAAGAACACGCTCATGAACCATGGGAAGCCAAAACGAAAATCTCAAGTCTCGTTCGGGAATACATAGAGCTAGGAGAGGTCATACCGATGGTCCTTCCAGCTTTTCCATTCAAGTCACCTAATAAAAAATTTAAGGTCCTCGGCCACCTTCCAGATAAAGGCGAGGAGGTTGCGTTGGCACACCTAAACGAACTCTGCAAGCTGATCGAGAACGAGTATACGAAAGGCGGGAGGATAGATATTGTTTCTGATGGATTGATGTACAATGGTAGGTAGCCTAAGCCTACCACAGTATCATGAAAACGCCGCTAACATTAGTACTAGACCTCCTGGGGATTTCCGATAAAGAGGTGTGGGCCTATGGCCAAGCCCTCCGAAAACTTGCTGTTGACACAGGATGCAGTAATATAAACTTTGTTCGGCTTGTGCATCTGCTTGGGGAGGTCGAGATGGGAGAGCCATTATCAGAAGAAGAGTACTTGAAAGATGCTTCGTGGTTTCGGACGCAGCTTCACGAAAGAAATATTCCCGAAAATTTTGATGTCTCTGCGTTTATATCAAGTGATCCTGACACAACACTGACCTACCGAGGGTACATAAAATTCCTCGAAAAAGATCTCGACCACGATAACAGTATTGATGATGCGTCTGTCTCAAAACGACAGATTAAAAAGCGCCACGAAGCAACGGCTAAAAACATGATAACCCGTGGACGAGCATTCGCAATCGCTATAGCGAGAAGGTTTGATAAATCGATTAGATTATCGATTCACCCATCCACAGAGTCAACGAAAGTATCCATAGCAATAACCCCACAAAAGGACGGAATGATCATGACGCCATGGCATTCATCTCTTGTCTATGCAGTGGACGGATCCATCCGTATGGCACACGCAGGATCAGTACCGGCATTAACACACGAACTAATTTTCGAGCACGGTCGCCCTGTCTATTTCAGGGAGAAATCACCCCTTTACGACTGGGGTAGTGTTGACGTCGAATTTCGATACACCTATCCCTCAGGTATCATTATTTCTCCTCGAAACAAGTCCTGCAAATGCCGACTTAACCGAGTTGATATGCGGAAGGTGAGAGTGCTGGCGGGGTTCTGTTCCCCTGTGATATTACGGGGCTGGTTGGAAACGGCAAGCCAAGGTTGCTGTTTTGAAACCGACGTTGCCAGCGGGAAATGCAGACATGGAAACATTGGAATGGCAAAATTCTGTAACGGAATAACTCCGGGAGTAACAACGGGCTGTCCTAGAATGAGGCCGACACCAAGTCATTGTGAAGCCGGGGCCTTGAGAGACTTCGATAGCGAGGGGAGTACCATATGCGACCACGTGCCTTGCCAGCAGATTGTATCTTCAATGCATAAAACGGGCACATCATCTCAGAGCTTGCTCCATATCCCTCCTGATGGATGTGGTCGGTGCCTCGCAGTAGACCAACATCGAGGAAACCCCCAAGCCGAAAATCGGCCGCTGAACGAAGTGCCAAATCCACCAAAAAGTTATTCAGCTTGGAAAGTCCTAAAGGATTGGTCTGACATGTGTATCATGAGCTAAGTCCGCATTTCTTCATCTGGGAATCTTGGTTCTGGGCTGATATGGGACAGGGAGGAACGGCGCGGCTCTGGTATTCTTTGCTCCTTTTTCAGATATATCCCCTACTCAGACTGGTTTGATAGGGGCTTCTCTTTGAGATTAGCCTGTAAACGGAGGCAGAATAATAGATGTATATATAATCTTCCTATAAAAACATTCAACCAAGGGCGGCGTTTCAGGCTCTCGCGTGCTGTTAATGCAAGGTGATCTAGACAAAGAACAGTTGATGGCAAGGGGGCCCATTTTAAAAGATACAGCCAGATTCTTGTAAGATCAAAGGCGATTCCGGTTAAGCCTGGTTTGAGGTGAGGATTGAAGACAAAGACTCAATACCTGACAATACATCATTATACCGCAAATTACAATATCAATACCGTTTCCCATACAGTCTGCGTATCGGTGATTCATCCGTCCAATTCAGCCAAAAAAAATACTAAAAAGCTTCAAACCAAGCAAGCTCCAACCGGGCAAACACGCAATATATTTCCTTATTTCGGCATATATTCGCAAGCTTAGCACCATTCTGGACTTTTTTTTTTTTCCCTCTGTTATCTCGTGTATCTTTTACTTGAGGCACCAACGGTGTGATTGCCCCTCCAGTGAGACTACCGCGGGAAATCCTCGTATCGCGAGAATCCTCCTTTCCCGCTGCATATTCGAAAAGCCATTGCGAAGTAACCTAGAGTTAATCATACACCTGGGAGGATTAAACACTCCAGAACTATAATCAGAAATGCCTCCGTCAACAGTAACCCTAACGCCGGGGTTACAGTCCTTCCTCAAGGTTCTCAAGACGAGTGACGTGGATAGTGCGACAGAAAACTTGATATCGTATGTCTCTTCACTGCACGGCTGCAGGAACTCTTGGAAAGATCTTTTTTTTTTTTTTTTGGCTAACTAGTCTTATTTAGGCTTTTGAAACGACGCCAGATACGCCCTTCACACTCCTGCGCCGTCGCAACGGCATACCTCCTCCTCCGCGTCGTCTCAACATCAAAAGGAACAGACCCAGAAAAGCTGATTGACCGTGTACAAAATGTTGGAAGACGGCTCATTGCGGCACAGCCCAGGGAGATGGTTGTTGGGAATATCGTGCGCCGTGTTTTGGGCCTGATTAGAGAAGAAGCGGAGGATGAGAGGGAGGCTGAATTTTACCTATCCAGTGACGCGGGGTCCGAAACCAGGCCACATACTCCTCCTGCTGCTGATAGCCAACTTACTACACACTCATCGGGGATTTCTACACTTGGCGCACATGGTGCTACACATGGCGCAAGCCCATTAAGTCGCTGTGAAGGCACAGATGCTGACTCGGAGCGGGGAACAGAACGATCCTCGTCACGTCCACCGATGCCACTAGCTCCGCATGCCTCATTTACAACTGCAACCACAGCACCCCCAGTAATATCGATGTTTAGGCTACTTTCACATCCTCAAGTAGTGGGGTCACCGCAAGCTGGATCCCCAGTCAATGCATCGCCGTCCGGACGCATACGAGGGCAGTACACCTCGAAAGATTTCAAAGCAGAAGTAATCGACGGCATTGGCGAGATTGTCGACGAATTAAGCCAAGTGGAAGATCAAATTGCCAGCTACGCCCTGGAACACATCCATTCAGACGAGGTCATACTCACCTACACCTCGTCGATGACGGTGCATAGGTTCCTAGCGAAAGCTGCAGCGAAGCGAAAATTCACTGTGATTCATGCTGAGTCCTATCCCAACAATCACCGCGACACACATGCTGTTGTAGCCGGGCGGCGACCTGTAGGAAGTGGAGACGAGGAGAGTTTAAGTGCCGAATCGTTTCAGAAGTCACTCACCGAACTGGGAGTGACGGTGATTCTAATCCCTGACTCGGCAGTCTTTGCACTAATGTCACGGGTCAACAAAGTCATCCTTGGCACGCACTCGGTGCTGGCAAACGGAGGACTAGTGGCAGCAGCTGGAACAAGAGTGATTGCGAATGCAGCCAAAGTACATCAAATCCCCGTCATTGTCGTTAGCGGAATATATAAACTCAGCCCCGTCTACCCCTTCGACTACGAATCGCTGATCGAGTATGGCGATGCGAGCGCGGTGCTGCCGTATGAAACTGGAGACCTGGAAAAGATTGACGTTGAGAATCCCCTCTATGACTATGTGCCGGCTGAGCTAGTCGATCTATACATTACGAATCTGTAAGTTTGCATTCCATGGCATTATTTATTCCCCAATTCGACGACTTGCCTTAGCTCCCTTTCGCACCAACGTTTTGTTCGCTGCGGGGGTAGTGGATGTTGGAAGTAATACAAACAGAAGTACGTTACTGACCCATCGAGTACAGGGGTGGCCATGCGCCTTCTTATTTGTATCGGATTGTTTCGGATCATTACCGAAAAGAGGACATAGCCTTTTAAAGCACGAGGGGAAATAGAGCAGAATAATAACCTCCAACGAAAGGAACAACGGATCAAGGGAGTTGAGTGAGGGAAATGGGGTTTTAGATAATGAAATGAATCGAAACGAGAATTCTTACGATGGATATGAAGGTCACATCCAAATCAAATTTAAACTCAAGTTCGTTCGAAGATGATGAAGGTGATGAAGGTGAAGCAATATACCGGTTCGTTAATAATATTCAGAAGATGAAAGTGAAAGGATGAATTCAAAGGAGGAAGATCAACGTAATGACTGCGCAGTGGTGTGCATGCGTAATGGCATCCTCGCTGACTCTCGGTGCTGTTGTCAGAAGGACTAACTGAAGGGCAGCAAGGGGGGCCCCCTCTCTATCCCCAAACCTGGTTTTAAATGACTTCAGGGGCGAGTGAGATCAGTAATCACCAAATCCTCATAACAAGGAATAAATCAATTGTCCTCCACGCGTCAACAGCAATGATGAAGTTAGAAGCAGGCAAAGCAGCCACCATCCTTAACCAGCCAGCCTTTCAGACAACCCGCCACACAATAACAAATCATGCAAGCACGTTTTTGTAGGTTTTTCGTAGGAAATTTATTTTCAAGATAAGATAAACAAATAAAAAAAAGGAAAAGTGGTTATCTCAAATCATTCCGGGGCATTCATTTCTGGAGCCGGTACAGACATACACATTCACACGAGTAGAAAAACACACAAAAAGTCGCCTGCAAAGGACACCACCCCACTACCACCACCTACATCGCCACGAAGATATCCACTTTTCCGCCCTCCCCATCTTTTATATTTCTTCGTTTACGATCTTGGCTTCTCCTTCTTCTCCTTCCAGAGGGCCGAGAGGCCGACACCGGACACCTTGACGACCTTGAATCGGACACCGGGAATATCACCCTTGGCCTTGCCCTTGCGACCGAAACCGGCGAGCAGGACTTCGTCGTTCTCGTCGACGAAGTTCAAGCAACCGTCGTTGGGGACTAGAGAGTACGAATTGCAACTGGTTAGTAGGCAAGCCGCGAAAAAATCGAAAAATCAAGAAATTCCCCAAAAATGCCCGCAAGTCGTCCTCATTTGGTCTTGCTTTTGTTGAATCACCCGTGTCGTATGGGGCTCCTGCATTTCCTAGCCAAAATATATTTCCCATTGTCTTTTTTCTCTTCTCTTCGATTTTCTTCTCCATCTTTCATCCATCACGAAGGGAGGACGAAGGAAAAAAAAGGCAGCACAAAACCCCAAAAATCAAGAATGAGGAAAAAAAAAAAAGAATTTCTGCAAATACGCACCGAAAGCAGTGACCTTCTTTCCGTTCTTGATGAGCTGGACCTTGACACATTTCCGGATAGCGGAGTTGGGCTGCTTGGCCTCAACACCGACCTTCTCGAGGACAATACCCTTTGCGTGGGAGGAGCCACCGAAGGGCGAGGACTTGAAGGCAGTTCCGAGAAGACGCTTCTTGTAGGTCAGATCGGCCCATCTGCCCTCACGGCGATGGTTGCGCAGCTTGCGTGCGGCATTGAGACCACGAGGCTGGCCCTTTCCCATGATTGCTGGTGTTTCTGTTCTTGATTGGGTTCTATTTGTTCAATTAGATTTCTATAGCTCCTTTTTTTCCCTTTTTTTCTAGAGGGGGGGTTGTCTGGCAAGATGTCGACGAGGGATTATATATGTAAAATTTCTCTCTGGCGACTGGGCTTGGGGGCATTTATAGACGGAGAATTTTTGCGTTGATGTTTCATGTGAGGAGGGGACTAAGGTGTGCGTGCAGGGCAGATATCATTAGCTGTAAAATGGAACGTACCGATATCAAGGAAGGCTATTGCCAGAACGCAGCAGGATGGTGGGTGGGAGGAGGAATTGTCGATGTCGAGGATAAGGAAACCGTCGCCGCTGCCGGTGGTGTGTGTGGTGGGTGTGGTCTTGTCGCTGATTGTGCTGGATGCTGGCTTACTCACCCGCACACACACACACCAATCTGCGCTGCTTGGCCGTGGTATTCAAATTGTCGGTGTGGGTTACGGGGCTGTATTGCCCGCTAAGCGAGTAAATTACCGGAAGACGGTGTATTGTTCTTCCGCTCGCCCTATCAAACGTCATCCGCTGCGCCTCTGGCAACTGCGGCTCAGTAAAACTAAACAAACCATCGAATCACAACATCCCCGGCGCGCGGGGAGATATAAAACGTCCAGACGTACCGTACATACTACTACATACAGCCAATGCAGCGCAGGATCAGCCAGTAAGATAGCGCCAATCATGCATACCTGATACATAGAACACTCACATCTGTTATCCGCCAAGAACAAGAAAAGTGGCCTGACTCTCAATCCTGCTAACTGTCTCTGTCTTGCGCTGTCCCAACGATTGACCACCCCCGTTCATATGCAATCCCAGTCATCGTGCTGGACCATTTAACCAATCAGCCAACCTCCAAGCAAGTGCTAAAAGTAGTGCTAAAATTCCCCTGTCCAGCGCCTACAAAAGTCAAGAGATTAACCATAAGGGCATGCCATGGCGACCTCAACAACGGCTTCCAAGCCCGAACCGACACAATCAAACCCCTCGTCCTCAACCCCCGCCGTACCACCACCGTCTCAACAACGCCTTCCACCTCCATTCCTCTTCCAAGGCCCACCGTCCCTAAACACCTCTAACCTCTCCCTCCCCCATAGCCTTCTGCCAGGCTCTCACAATTACACTTCACCACCCAACAACGCCACGGCTAAACCTTCCCTGGCAACCTCCGCCGCTCATCACATCCATCAACCCCCGCTTCTTCGCCCTCATTCAACCCATACTACCCCTCCCGATATACCTGCCGCTACGACTTCTTTCACCACTAAACTAGCCTCAGCCCCAGGCTCAACTCCAAGCTCCCCGCTGATGCGTGCATCCCGGTTATCTGCACAGGGACAGGGGCCCGGATTAGGTTATGGACTGGGTTATGGCACGGGAACGGGACTAAGAATGGGACTAGGCAATGGAAAGAGCCAACACGGCCATTCCCAGACCCATGGAGATATGGACGGTAGTGCTCGTGGCGACGCAGATGCGCTGTGGCAGCAAATGCAAAATACGCTCGCCGAGGTGGAGTTGAGCGCCATGAACGGTGATCATGTTTTCGGCACGCAGCACGCTAGGGCGCTGGAGGAGTTGAGGGATAAGCAATTGGCGTTGGCCCTGGCGTGGGCGCGGAGTGAGCCTGATGAAGTTGTGGAGAATCCACCCGTTGAAGAGAGTGCTTCTGCCACTCCTGCAACTGGTCCTACTACGACAGGTAAGGGAGGTGGGACGGGGACAAGCGGGGGAGGTGGAGGAGGAGGTACGGGGGGCGGGGGAGGGGCGGAATCTATGCGCAAAGACTCTACTGCTACGGCTATGGATAAAGGAATAAAAGAGAAGTTCATGAGCGAGACAACTGAGAGAGAGATCCTTCTCGCGCGCAAAAGGAGAGAGGCCAACGATCGGTATTTCGACCGGGTTAATAGTGGTGTTCTAGATGTGGTTGCGAAGCTTGAGGAGGTTGCATTGGCGATGAGGGTGGTGGAAAGGGAGAGTAAGGAGATTTGGAATGAGACTGCTGATGATGTTGAAAATGATAACGATGTTGACGGAAGTGACCATGTGGATGAGGATGTGGATGTGGATGGACCTTCTGCTGCTGGCTCTGCTACCGCTTCAACCACCACCAGCCGTCATCGCCGTCATCGTCGTGGTGCAATATCTGACTGAGGATGAAAGAGAAAAAGGAAAGGATATCGGCGAATGAAGAGACGTAATTTTGTTACAAAAAATAAAATCAGACAACCCGGTTAGTCGAACTGGAGAAAGTTTCTCAGTTCTACAGTTCCTCAATCTTCTCGATCCTTCTCTGTTATCTACCCAATCGCAGATTCTCAGCACTGGCAGCACTTCTCCTCCCATTGCCAATGGGGAAGGACTAACCGTTCATTCCATCACTCCTTCAGCCGAAGATGTGGCTTTCTCGGCAACACAACGATGTTAAATTACTTTTTATTTCTTATCAGTCGGTAGTGACGGAATCGATCTACGTTAGCAAGCATCATCCCCTGGCCAGTTTGCAGATCCCCAGGTAATATCGCACATTCTGTGGTATGGAATGAGACCCGGGGGGTACATATAAATGTACAGTACGAGTGAAACGAAAATAGGATCACGAGGCTTTTCTCGAGTCACAGCCAGCCTGAGGACCCGGTTAGCCCCCCATACATACACGATTTTAGTTCCATTCGACGGCTTTTAAATGCGCGACCATCGCGGCATCTTGAAAATGATGGTTCCCCAAATTAAAACCAGTCAAGCAAGGGGCAGACCCGCTGCTTACTTTAAGCTCCCAGCAAAGATGACTGCAACATGGCATCATTTGTTGTCATCATTATTGTCATCAAAAGCCCCGAAGAAAATCGGGAGTCTTATGGTTCTTCTAGTCTTACTTTCGGATTGGCTACCCCACCTCGTTTATTAATATTCTGCAGAAGGCTGAATTCGAAAGTAGGGTGCAGCCCTTTTTCCCTTTTTTCATCCCCGTTGTGCCGCCTACGTAACATGATTCTTACCTATAATGTCAAATCCTTGACTCGCCTGGGCAAATCTCTCAAGCAACGGATGGCATGTGATGGAATGGGCCGGCCCGTAGGCATGCGGGCAAGATACGCAAGGAGTGGTTGGAATAATGCAGGGGAGGAGGTGATCATGGGGCGTCGGGAGAAGGGGAATTGAGGGTGGATGTGAATGAGGGGATGTGTTTCGTGCACATCATGCAATGTCCATAGGCTGCACACGGTTGATTAATACTGTATACCACTCGGAAATGTTAGAATGAGGGAACCGTTATAGATAGTATAATCCGATTTTTTTGACGTTAAAAATGGGCCGGAATGATGAAACGAATTTACATATCCAGATTTATATATAAGCTTCTTTTCGTTGCTGTAAATAATTCAATCGAAACAGCACGTCATACACATACAGATTTAAGAGCGACACAAAGGCCGGCCCGGGGGTATCAATTCAACCACCAACGCCGCAACACCAAAACCATACCACATACGCAAACGAAGAAAAATAAAAGAAAGCCATCCAGCCCTCACAAAAGCTCTAAATGATCCGTTAAACAAGAACATCCCAATTCCCTACCCCAATTCCTCCAATACATCCATCAAATCACCCTTCCCTCCCAGTCCCCTGCACCCCCTCCCTCAACCCCCTAACCACCCTAACCCCCTCCTTAACCAACCCTTCCAATCCCACCTCCTGCACCCTCCTCACCCACCCCTCAAGCTGCCTATTCCACCTCTCCTTCGCCAAATCCATGATCCCAGGCTGTTCGCGCGGGTAATATCCCCTCCGCGCCATGACGGCGGCGATGGCGGCAGCGTCCTCCGCAGACGCGGTTCGTAGATTGGTACTGCTGGTGGCGTTGGCCGTGGTGGTGGGCAGCGCGATGGTGTTTATGAGATCTATCTGCTCGCGGAGGAGGAGGCGTTGGTGGTGCCGGTTGGCGAGGTGGAGGTGGAGGGTTAGGGTTATGGTGGCGGTTGAGAAGGTTAGGCCGGTGAGCTGTGGGTTTTTGTTGGGGGAATGTTAGTTACTTTGGATGGGTTTGGGTTTGGGTTTGATTGTGATGGTGTCTATATGGTTTTGCTGGCTGGCGGGAGGAGTAGGTTTTCCCGGATTGGTTGTAGTGAGATGAGATGGAATACGGGAGGGAACTTACGAAGCCTTTGAGGAAAGCCATTCTTGTGCTCTTGGGTATTTAAGGTGTCTTGCTATTCTCTGGCTGAAGGGGCTTTCTCCCTTGGTATATGTAAAAGCAGTTTTTCTAGAGCGTAAAGAGCTTGATGGAGTTCAAGCAGAAATTACTGGTGTGAGCTCCTTGCTCTTCCCCCACCTGCAGGATATTGTTTCAATAGATATTGAGTGAGAAGCTTTAAAGCAATATCGTTCGGTCCAGAGGTGCCAGAAACACACAAAAACCGCACCGAAATGTCATAGAAATAAATATTGCTGCTAAGAATAGTTCAGTATTGTTAAATCATAGTTTGTTTCTTGTATTTATCAGTTGTCGCTGTCTCTGCTCCGATTGGCTGGATCCCTTCAATGATTCTTCCGGCTTCAAATTTCTCCAACGTCAACTCTCCAAAACACTCAGACCACACACCAAAGAACAACAAACGCCAATCAACAACAATTCTACCCCCAATTCCTCAGTACAGCTACATTTAATCGATCGGGGATTGGGAAATATCCTCACCCGCTCCCCAAAAGCCAATTGTCCCGGCTGTGTTTCCACTTCCCCGTTCGTTCGCACCGACGAGCAATCTTCCATCCATCCACTCGCCGCCTCCCCTCCCCGCTCTCCCACCTCACCTCCATAACCCCATAAACCCCAATAAAAACCATGGCAGGCGGCCATATGAAATACCGGCATTTAAGCCGTGACTCAGCCCACCGCAAAGCCCTCCTACGAAACCTCGTCACATCGCTCTTCGAGCACGAGGCCATCACGACGACATGGCCCAAGGCCAAAGAGGCACAACGCATGGCGGAAAAGCTGATCACGTTGAGCAAGAAGAATACGGAGACGAGTCGGCAGAAGGCGCAGGCGGTGTTTTTCGTACGTGCAATATTTTTCTGTTTTTCTTTCTTGTACTGTACTGGTGTCTGGAGTTGCTGGTATACCTACACATATATCGAGAGTTTCGACTCGGGGGGATGGATACCTAGCTAGCCAGTTGGTGTATTCAACATGAATTGATAGCATCGGCTTGCGATTATTTTGACTATCTCGCAACATGCGGGAAATTATAACAGGCCCTACCTACACCATCGATTGCCATCTCCGAATAATATATTACCATGACCCTCCTCCAATTACCACCGGAAGAAGAAAGCTAACACAAAATCCCCGAAACCTCCAGAAACCCGAGCTCATTACAAAACTCTTCGGCCCCATCCGGGAACGCTACCTAAACAGGCCGGGTGGCTGCACCCGCGTCCTCCGCATCGAGCCCACCAAGCCCGACCAAGCCCCCTCCGCCATCCTCGAACTAGTCGACGGACCCAGGGACATGCGATTTGCCATGACGGCGCGGACGCTAGCCCGCAAGCGCGCGGAGGGCGATGAGAGCATGAATGAGATTACGGCGTTGAATATATTGAAGGTTACGAGGTTTAGGCCGGATGGGGAACGGGCGTTGGAGAAGGAGGTTGAGAGGGTTGAGAGGGAGCTGGCGAAGAAGAAGAGGGAGGCCGGGGGGGAGGTTGATTAGTGGGTTTTATTATTTTTTTGTCTGTTAGGTTTTTGCTTTTCTTGTCGATGGTTTGGGCATTTGTTTTTGGTACTTTTTTACTTTTTCTTGATTTTTAATAGTTGCATGTTATGGCAATCTCTTCCAGTTTTGTATGGGTGAGGCTAGAGAAGGTGTTTTGTCTCTTCTTCTTGTTTTTTCCATGCTTGCTTTGCTGTTTGACTCTCCCATTTTTTTTTTTAGAAAACTGACTGTTCCACGTATGTATAAAATTGCCCTTGTTTCGCTCGGGTGGTGTCGTTTTTTATATGTCGACTGCATTTTAACTATGAGATGAGATACATGCCGTATGTATGTAACTACCACTGTACATTATTTTGGGAGGGAAAGAATAAATAAATATCACATTTTTATTTCAGATTAATGATTTGAACTATTCCAGCTTTAATTTAAAAAGATCTCTTCAGTCAACATTTATCTCTTGGCAGCTATTACCTTTCTCAGCTGTTGTGTCCATACATTAAGTTCCTTTCACTATAGCAGTTCATAAAAGAATTGGGTTAATAGCATCGATCATACAAAGTCTGACAGTGAAAAAACGCAAACTTGGCCATCGGAAAAAGCAAAACCGGGCAGATTGCTGAAAGAATCAAATCCGTGAAGAATTCATCATTGAGTCGGCTATCAAGGTGCTCTGTTGTATCCAGTTCTATACCGCAGCTTTTGATGTTCCAGCTGCATGGCTTCTTGGTGACTCATTCAGAGATGGTGATTCATCATCAGATTCATCGATATTCATCCACTCGTGGTTACTTATTCCTCGTTCCCGTGGGGGATATCCGTCAATTCGGAGCCAGCCAAATATATTCCGTGTAGCATTTTCTGATGCTGATTCGTCCTCGAGATTCAGAGCGTCGTATCTGATGGGTGTATTCATTGCCGGGTGCCGTTCCTGTAGATGGGCAGATATAGTGGTTTTAACGCACAATGGACGTACTAGTTTACCGTTTCGACAAGCCCAATACCAATCCGCATATTGAAGACCGTGACCAGTACACTGTGTATGTAGACGGACATCAATTTCAGTGTCTTCGAGTGCAGTGGTACCGAAAGGCATCCATGGAGACACTGGGCACTGACTATGCTGTTCTGCTTGGGTCAGATAGAGAAGTCGGCACTCATCTGATCGTAAAAGCGCCCCGTTAGTTATTAGGGGTTGGGAGACAGGTTCCTGTAAAAATGATTGTGTGACACCACACCATGATGCTGCATGGAGGTCAATCAGCATCAGGCCGAATCGACCATCCTGGAGGACATCCTTGTGAGTACCCATGATTATGCCACCAAGCCAAAGAAAAGAAACCTGTGGGACTCGGTTCATCAGGATATGAGCAAGTAGATGGTCGTCCTCTACAGAGTCAAGAACGGAGAACGCAGACTGCAGCCATGGGCTTACAGTGTTGCAAGGGATTCCAGGTTCATAAAATACGCTTGACAAAAGAGTGCGTAGACCCCGTGTGTTGCAACTCAATGTTAAAAGCTTGTCCAGCTCCGGCACTATCTGCTTTGATATGGAGTCAAGTTGCTTCCGCTCAGTTGGCTCTGATATGGCTGGCTTGAGTCTTTGCCTCCTGTGAGAATTGGGTTTCGGGAGTGAGATCGGGTTTTTCTTTGTATGCAATGAAGGAAAAAACAATGCTGAAGATAGCGCCGCCAGGGTCTGGTCAACAATGTTGTGTAGATAGCAATATTCTGTGAGAAAATGAACTGCAGTGGTGAATGAAGCTGCGGTAGTTGACATATGACAGAGGGGTTTGCGGCAGGCAAGGGTAAATTTCGCCCTTGTTTCCAAAACAGTCGACCACGGCGATCGGAATTTCGCTCCCTCCCATGTAAGGTAAGCCTGCCATCCCTCACCGGAAGACAAAACAGCGGCCCACCATCTGGCTGCTTCATCGTCGACATTTCCTATATCCACCATGACTTGGGTTTGCTCATCTCCCTTGTTGTCATATTCCACGTGCTTCTCAGTATAGGTCAGATGGGCTCCGGGCATGAGCTCAACCCATCGCGCTGAGAATATGTAGCTCCATGCCAATATTAGCACAGAGAGGTGACTTTCTTCGCGCTTAAACCATTTCCGATAGGTCGGATCCAGGTTTTCAGAGAGAGTAAGTCGTGTCGGGTGGTTGATAGAAACTGGTAGCTCAAGTCTTTTTTCCACAGGAGGCAGCTTGCATTGGTCCCGCGAGGTTTCCCAAATCGATGTTCCGGTCGCATAGAGGCATTCATACTCACATTTCAGATCCAGGTCATGGACCAAGGGAGGTACCTGCCGAACTGCGGGCTGGATGTGGAAACAAGTCTGAGGCAGGCTGGGTTCCTGTCGAGCACGCGTGTGAAGCCTTGTTCATACACGGTTCGGCTCTTTGCAGTACTTGGGCGTATAACATCTTCACGCTCCATGGCGGATAGTGTTTATTGCAAAGGGTCTGAGAGGTAGTATACCGAAGATGATAGAATATATTTGGATGCCTTTGTAGGAGAAATCAATACCTGAGATTTGGTCCAGCTATTCCAGAAATGATGGAAGCATGGAGAGGAGAGGGTGCACAGCAAGAGCTTGTTCATGTCTATCCATCTAGATCAGTCGATTATTCAACATCTCCAGCTAGCATATTTCCATCTAGGGGATATCAATCTACTGCTCAGCGGTTACGACTGTCTCTGGTGAAGGGCTCACAAAGAAATCTGCAAACGGCAGAATGGTGGGACAATTTTGATCAGAAATTGGAGGATCTTGGATATCTGTCCCAGTCAATGTCATTCCATAATGGATTTAGTGAGCTGGCACTATAATAAGTTATTTATTTACTTAGAGCCTCTCCTGGCCTGATGGATGTCCACTTCCCCCCCTTAGGACTACCGACGATCGATCAACCCCCTTTGATTAACACCGTTAATTTTACTATGCGCAATAGAGTGATTATTAGATAGTTATTACTTCCTACACAAATAGATCCAAAATATCACACGGGCCGTCGTTGTTCCGCCAGGCCTCGAAAAAAATGACTGAGCCAGTTGCTTCCAAGAGCCCTGAATAAGACATTGCTCGTCTCTTACGACACCGTCATTGCTCACTGTGGACGCGCTTTCAAGAGGCTCACCCATAGAACTATCATCAAATATGGGTAGAGTTTCACAGCAGATGAAACTGCAAATAAGAAACATGCCTGTCTTCATTCAAGGACCAAAATCACCGTTCCGAAGGTCTACCGATATTGCACCAAACAAAGTCCAGTATAGGATAAAGGATATCTCCTGGACTGGAATATGTCAGCTTTTACCCTAGACCATCCTATTTATAGGACAGAAGGAGGACTACAACTTCACAAATGATCTTACAATATGCACTTGACTCTGTATATAAAAAGAGGGTATGAAAGCTGAAGATGAATCCATACTTGAATTTTTGAATTGAGTTTACTGAAACAATTTGAAATACAATTTGTATTTCTACTCAGAATGCAATTATGAGTCTATGACTCTCTTGAACTTACTAAATCAACAAGTTCCAATCCATCAGAGATAGACTGGGAATCAGTGAAACAGTTTTGATTTGCTTGTTTGATATAAACATGTGTCAAGTAAGTTATACTGTTATACATCAGCAATCAAAATGCCTCTGATAAAATTCATTAATTTTTCATTGAATTCAGAAGCTGGTATCACTTTTGTATGTGTTGTGTGAACTTATTCATCTCATTCTCAGAGAGCAGAATATATCTCTGATGTGTCAAATTCAAGATCTCTGTTCTTCTATAAAATATGTTAGATGAAAAGAGCTCTGAAAAAGATTCTGCTAAGTCTGACTTACGCTCAATGATGACAGCCATTTCCAGAATCTGTCATTTGATACCTTGTGTGTCCCTTTGCCTGGAAAATTGGATGCAGTGCTCTACTTTGAGATCATGCAAGTGTTGTAATTGAAGTATGCAAGTCTTGAGTTTGATAGAGCATAGAGATGTGAGGTTGTGCTGAAAGTCTCAGCTTCATCTTCATCATTTGCAAGAGACATGCTCAAGTGAACAGATGATGTTTCACTCTGAAGAATCAATCAATGATTTCTGCTTTTATTCCAGTCAGTCAGATTCATGATGTGAACAATTCTGACCTTGATGACAATCTGGTTGTTGACATTCATTTTTGATGGTTCAAAGAACAGTGTGGTGTAAAGGACTAAATAAAGTGAAGCGTGATACTCTCTTTCCTCTTTGACAAACTGTCCCTCTGGCATATCTTCCAGGTCCCTCTCTTACATGTATTATACAACAACTCTCAGTTCATGGTATAGTTCATTATCATGAATTGAACTCTAGAAACATTGGTGGTAATCTAGCTTGATTCAGTAAGTATCTTGACACGGGTCCACGGGTTCAGGGTGGTGTTTAAAAGAAAACTCAATTGACTGCTATATCTAATATGAAGAGACTTTCTCATTTGCAATTAAACTCAATGTGAATAACTCATTCATTGAACCCACTCTTAGAAAAAAATATATATAAACTGAATATTATTAAAAGAAAAGGGTGGGGGAGAATGAGAAAAAAGTGAGTCTATAATATTTTGTCTTTGCTTGTTTTCCTTGCTGTCATCAGTCAGCGCCAGAGGGACTCTGAAATAAACAATGACAAACACCTTCTGCTTTCTCACCCTCCCCTACTTTTGTGTGAAATCGAAGCACTAATAATCTCAAATTGACTGCTCCAACCTACGCGGTGCTACCGACTGAAGAGCCGGGAGGTAAACAACACCTCGAAGAAAAGCGTAAGAGTGACCCAGATCGCGCCAAATTAGCGCAACGCCTCGCGTGGAAGTGCTTGCCCACCCATTTTTTTTCTTTCTTCTGTAGCTCATCAATAGCCAGAAGCTATCCAGATACACCGCCTCTCACCACCACGAAACCACAGCACACTCCTGCCCAAACTCCAAACCACCCAATTCTCATCTCGACATGATACAATGAAATCCGGTTCACCCCAAATATGTCCACCTACCCCATCACATTCAATCCGATGCCATGCCGTGCCGTGCCACGCAAATTATGTAGGCAAGAAAATAGTATTAAGAGATATATGTAGATGGGATGTTTACAAACCCGCGGCCATATTACCCCGAGGTCTCTGATGTCCCATTCCGCCCGATACAACTAGAGGGCCGCTCTGCTTAGGGAGAGGTGCGGGTGGCGTGCTTGGAAACGATTGAGGTGGAGATATCGCTGGAGCGGTCTTATTTTTGAGATCGTAATCATACGGCACTTGCGATGGGGGCGGTTTAGGGGGCAGATGGGCAGGAGTACCCCATTTAGCTATTGAGTCGCGGGTCATCATTGGAGAAGGCCCATGATGACCAGGTGTCGAATGATTCATGGAAGAAGTAGGTCCGAGTATTTTGGCATTAGTTTGAGGGTTTGGTTGATTTGAATGGTGGTGGTTCGAGGGGTCCTGGTTGGCCCCTGCCCACGGTGTCGGAGTGGGATATTGAGGCGAGTGTACGCCAGCTGGATTTATGCCTGGCTGTTGAGGTGGGTTCCCTAGAAATCGAGTTTGAGGGCTGCTTCCAGGAACGAAAGATCTTGTTTGAGGGTTAAAGGGTGGACGGGAAAAACTTCCGGGAAGAGGATGTTGTCCTGAGTTGTTCTGATGACTTGGTGCGAACGGCGGCTGGTTAGGAATCTGACCGTAAGGGTAAGTCGCCTGACTCGGATTCATTGAGTGTTGAGGGTAGTTTGGCCAGTGTGTATTAGACGGATTACGCTGGGTAGGCGATGGAGAGTAAGCGGTTGGGTATTGTGGTTGATTCCAGTTTGAAGAGCTCTGTTGCTGGAACGGGACTGTGTTGGGATGGGAGGGATATGAACTCATTCCAGGCGAGGATCTGGTTGAAGGCTGTTGAGGCACCATTGGCGGGATCTGGTTGACCGGAGAAAATCCGGAGTATGGAGGGGATTGCTGCAAATGCCCCGGCTGCCAATTAGGTTGATTCATACGAGGCGGGATAGCAACAGGGTACTGTGGTGGTGCAGAAGTCAGGTTGCCCTGGGCTTGATATACCGCGTTTACATGGTTTCCATGCGGGAAATTAGCCGGCGGTGGTGAAGAAGTCGAGACGTAATAATGGGCTGGAGTACCAAACGACCCTTCAGCCATCATGCCACTGTATGGAAGCGGAGCGCTAGAGTATGGAGCCCCTGGATAATATGCATTGAACTGGGACCGTGCCTCGAAACTGTCGTCACGTGGCGTTCTCTGCTTGTGTCCTTTTCGTTTGCCATTCCCGGAGTTGGACCGTGACATGTTTGCACTTTGATCCCCGCTATTTGAATGGTCCGAAGTCTTGGATTCAGGAAAATCCCTAAATATCCGCTCTCGAGCTTCCTGATATTTTGCTTCCCGCTCCTCTCGACTCAGGGTCGCCCGATCCTTTGCCGGAGTGGCTCCGGCCGATGATCCAAATCCTTCCTCATTAGTGCCGTCAGCACCGGCTTCCGATGTAGCTTTTGAAGGGGCTGAAGAACTAGGTGCCGTGCTTCCTGCACCCGACACCCTTTCTCCTGGCTGACCAGACCGACGCATAATTTTCATCGCTGGTGCATTTGGAGGCGGAGTTTTGTTTGCATTAGGAGGTTGGAGCATGCTTAAAGGGGTTGGCCTAAATCTCGAGTTTAGTGGACTACATTGTTTATACTCAAAAATTAAGACTATCAGAACTCACACTCTGCACCAAGGGGTTCGGTGAAGTCGAACGGATGTCACATTATTATCAACAAAGTGAGTTAGATGATAATAATCGCCGAGCTTATGTGCAAGCAGCCGTCCAAACGCGTTGCACGGAGGCAATTCCAAAGACTGTTCACTATACGTGGGTTAGCACTGCATAGAGAGAGCTTCCGTTGGTAAATCAGACCTGCATACCTAGAACCTTTGATGAATGCAATGATTTTCTCTTCAAGTTGAAGTATCAATAACCGATCCTTTGGTGAACTCATCGCTTCAAGCAGTTTCTCATCTGGCTCATCGGGGAAACTATGGAGGCTCAGTTCACTTTGGCCGTTCGGAGATACGATTCCCGGGAGGCACGAGTTATTAACTCGGGGTCTATTGGGAATGCGTTCGGATAAAGTTCCCTGGTCAGTTATCCGATACAAGCGTCCACCCGCCTCTGAGCCGACTTGGGAGCTCGGGGCCCCAGAAGCGGGTCCTGAGAAAGAGTCATCTTCTTCTGCGGCTTGGACGCTAGCACTATCATCTGGGCGCAACGATTCCTTTTCATCCATAGCAAAAGTCGTCACAGAAGCCATGCTCTTAGAGTCAAAGCTCGTTGGTTTAGTGGAAGAATTTGAAAGATGCGTTTGGTCGTCTTCAAAGGCTCCCTCAGGCTTAGCCACCCCATCATCACGGCTGTCTCCAGTGTCCGAATTGACTTCATGGCCCTTCTGCATGTTTATGTGGAAATCTTGCACCGACCTATTTAAATTCTCTATGGTATCGTGCGACTTCTGGTTTAGATTCTGAGGCGACTCATGAGCGGCGCTCTTCGAGTCATTTGAGGCTTCATCAATCCTCATCGGAGTACGGCTGTCAGGGCCAGTTTCAATCTGCGCAGAGTGGGTTTGCTGTGTTGGCGGAAGGCGCATTGCAGCAACCTAAGGCGAAGTATATTAGTTACATTATCCAGCAATATATTAATAAATCGAAAACTTGCAGTGCATACCGTTGCAAAGGAAGGGCGCTCCAGTTCTTGTTGAGAACGGTTGGAGGCCATCATGCTGAGCTAACGAATAGCTAGGCCAACGGACAATACCAACAAATAATGTCAAGATATTAACGCAGCTTAATAGAGCATCGAGAGAGCAAGGATCAAATGGAGTCAATGTCGCAAGGAAATCCCACTTCACACAAGTCTATATCGTTGGGCGACATATCTCTGGGTAAGGAAATTCGCCGTATAACTTTTAAATGGATTAAGCGAGAGTCAACAAAGAAAGCAAGGGCGTGGATCAGGAAGCAGAGAACATGACGGAGCGCCCAGAGATTCGATGGGTGTGTTCGGCGGGTGATTGATGCGTATATCACATTCACTGTAGAAAAAGCGAGACAAGGCTACTCCAAGCTGTCAGCACAGAAGTTTCATGCTGCAGGATCAAAATCCTGTGAGCAGCTGAAAAGACACGCGGTCCTCCAAAGAATGCAGGGCGATACTGGCGGGCAAAGAAGACGGGCTCACAGGCTGATCGGAGAATGTGTGCAGAGTTCAACCGGAATGGGCTGGGCGATGAGGTTGCTTTGGGCAGTGAGCGGGTTTGTCGCTGGTGGGGATTTGTCGTTTGCAGGGAGAATGCGGTGTCTTTGTCAGCTCGTTGCCGCGCGGCTGCGCTAATCTAGCGCTCCCTTCAGATGCGGTAACACTACATTGACGATAAGGAAGGCAACGACAGGCTGCTAGAGGGTAGAGAAAATCTCAACACCTCCAGGTTTCTGCGCTCTATATATATATGCTCAGCTGGTTCGAAGTACGATATATTAGGGGCAACAACCCGCAGGAGAACACTGCAACACGCAACTCCGAGTCCAGTTCCTTCAATTAACTCTGCCCTATCTCACCTCAGGGATCCAATGAATCGATATCGAAATATCCCTGGCCTAAGGCCAACTTCCAAGGCAACAGCCACTACCTTGTGCCAAAAGTGTTTGAAAAGAGATAAGTTTTCTACCGTTCATTTCATCCCAATGACGTCTTCGACTAACTGAACAATACGACACTATAGCTATGAGTGTAAAGCATCGGCTCAGGAACGGCCGTATATATCCCGTCCCTCCAGGACACAGCAGCTGGCAAACCCGAAGCTTGTCCCAGAACTAATGAGCGATGTTCCAAATGATTTGTTGCGAACGTACGTCTGCATTCCAAGTCCTGTTACCAAATGCACCAGCTAACGGTTTTCACAGCAAAGGTGTGGCTGATGAACAACTAGCACTGAATGAGGGTGCACGGGGTCGTAATATGGGGGACTTAGAAGATGATAGAGACCATGATGGTATTCGAGGGCATCCTAGAAAACGGGTGCGATCTGTCTCTCCAGCGTACTCAGAACACTCCGTTTCTACAATCTCAACAAACCGCTCTTGGTCCCGATCTCCACGGCGAAAACGAGCTACCTCGCCCTCCCGTTCTAGATCAAACGAACGCAGAAGCACGAGAAACAGAAATGTTTCACGAGACTCACATATTTCTTCTTCTTCTTTTGAAAGAAACGCAAGCACATTAAAAGGGAAAGAACGGGATTCAAGGCGAATAAGGAGATCACGGAGCCCAGTTGAACGAGGGCGACAGTATGACTCAGGCAGACGCGGCAGTTGGAGAAACAGATCGCGAAGCCAGAGTATGGATAGAAGCTCAATTGCAAAGCACCGGCGATCATTAACTCCTTACTCTCCCGAACGAAGCGGTCGGCATACAGAGTCTGGTCGCGCCCGGCGCCAACGCACCCCCAAGGAATCCCAGAATATTTCACGGAGTCCTTCAAGGGAACGGGGTTACCAACCTCCTTATGATAGGGGTAGAGGAATACCCCAAAAGCCACCACCGCGCAAGGAACGAAGCTTAAGCCCCTTCAGCAAACGCTTGGCGTTAACTCAGGCGATGAATATGATGAATAGGTAATGGACTTGTTGTGTATGTTAGCTAGAGAAATACTTTTGACTGAAAAAGCATATCGCTTTTTATTTATTTCGTTCTGTTTGTCATACCCAGTTTTGATTTTCCAGCCCCGACTGCTATGGCCTATTGCGAGCTTCTGTTCCTTCGAAGCAAGGGTCATAAATTGGATCACAGATATTCCCAAATACTAAATTACAACATTCTTTAATTTATGTCAAAAGTTCAATACTTCGCTAATGTTCCATGCCCCAAACCGTAATGCCGTTCCTAACCCTCGTACAAACTCCCTTGCATGCTATCCAGAATAATGAAACAAATATAGAAAACGAAATACCGCAACTCCTGCATCAACCCATCTCTGCGTCCTCCTCCCTTTGCCTCCTCTCTTCTTCAGCTTCATCCCTCTCCCTCAGGTGTATTCCCTCAACGAGGGCCCCTCCGTCAATGCCGACTTCCTGGCCATCCCCATCTAGGTCACCATCTTCAGAAGCCATATTTTTCTTCTTCCCTTCCGCTTCCCTTTGCGCATTCTGTATCCTCTCCCGAACCAATCTAGCGATCGCATTCTGAGTTCTCACATTTACGATCTTCATCTTCTCGTCTAGATCTCGTTTTAAATCCCAGTTTGGCTTTTTAGGTTGTAGCTTAAACAGGTCGATCGGCTTATCGGCTTCCTCGTCCTCCTTTGCAGCTTGTTCGGTGGATATCGCGATTCTTGAAGCTTGTTCTTCCAGAGTGGTTTGCCCTTTTATTGGGTCATATTCGAAACCAAGCTTTGGTCCCCGAGTCTCGGGATCGTAGTTTCTTCCGGACAAATATCGTGTAGACACATCTGTCGGTGTTCCTTCCTTTGAGCTATCTTGCTTCGAGGTATCCTGTCCAGCGGAATCTTGTTCGGGCTGTTTGCGTTTAAGAGAAGCGAGCTTTGCCAGGCGGGCTTTTCGGTCCGTCGCCGCAGCGTCAAGGGTAGAATGCGAAGAGGACATGCTTAAATTGTGTAGCGAGGAAGAAATAAGAAAGGCAGGCGTGGAGAAAAAGGCTGTGATGTCTATATGTTTGGAAAATGGTCTGGCAGCGCCGAAGCCCGCGACGAAAACATCATTAAGGTTTAGCCACATCTCAGCCACACATCTGGTCAGCCACACCTCAAAAAAGAAAAGGTGAGTTCGAATTTCTCGGCTGCAGCGATTTCGAGATACGAAAATCCACTCGCGCCCTTGAATTCTCGTCTCAATTATCCCAGGTTTACAAGCTATGTGAGTGGCATATACAGATTGGATACCTTCAGTTGCGCTCTCTATGCTTGCGTCCCTGCATGCTCGCTCGCCCATGCAGTGTTTACCACTGCGAGCATCGGTGCTCGCAAGCCAGCAAGCGCTTGTCAATTAGACACCATGCTTTCCGCCGCGAAGTCACTTTGCCTAGATATGTAACTAGATATTATCATAATCGAGCCCGGCCCCGCTACGAAAATGTCCAGGACCAGGATGTTTTATGGCCCATGTCTGCTGAACAGGGACTCCTCTCTTCCCTCTTCTCCGTCCGCAGGTTGCAATTCCGGAACCCAGCGTCACAAACTCGACATCTCCCCGACGCATCTACAATTCCGCATATGGGACGAATCCCCTTGCAGAGGGGTTTCACGACCTCTTGCTTATACAATTCCGCTATCCAACGTCGATTGTACACATCTCACCCAACCACCTTATCCGAAACCAGCAATGTATATCAGTCGGACCAAGATACCTACGGGAATCAAAATATCCCCCTTGAAAATAACAGATTCAGCGCTGGCGCGGAAAATTCACCAAAATTTCCCTTGGAGAAGGCAGTTGCACAGAACCCGTCGCAAAAACCGAACACAGAAAGATCCGATGGCGGCACGGGCCAGATTTTCCCTCCTTCAAGTTCGCCGCTGAGATCAACATTCCGAGAACTTATAAATAAGGCAATAGCCTCGACAGCTCGCAAGACCCGCCGCCATTTAATTCCCAGTCAGTATCATTACGAATACTCAGTGAGATCAAGGTGTCTGTACATTGATACTCTCATTCATCCCGACTGGAACGAAAATTTTGGACTGGTGTTCTCGCATAAGGTCAGAGGGGAGAATATGGAGACTGTATGGGACAAGCTGAAACTTGATCATGAAGAAGACGCTCTGGAGTGGCTAACTGGCGTCGACTGGACTGCGGAAGATCCTACCCATTTGGCAAGGAAGTGGAGCCGAGTTCACCGTCGGCCAAAGGAGACACTATGGCCTCCCATTGCATTGTGGTTACTCCTCAATTCTCCTCGAGCGTCTCTGGCATTTCTGTTAGCGACAGATGTTTTCCCAGCTCCTCCTTTTAGCATGGTCGCGAAATGTTTTCTTTATCTCGATGCCTTTCACTATGAAGAGCTTACACGGGATGAGCGGTCTAAACAACACTATCACGAGGCGTTAAGAACTTGCCTAAACCCAGAGAAGTGGCCAGTCCTGAAGGCGTATGAACGTGGAATACGCCTATTTCTTAAGCGAAGTGCGCCCGAAGATCTGAATAAGGCATTGTCCACAATCATAGATCGGAGAATTTTTATTGGTTTTGAGACAGCAACATACTTAATGGACCTCTTTACCAAGCGGCAGGATATCCCTAGGGCACTAAGCTCTTTAGGATTAATTACGGATACCCCTGACTACACTCGATTTCTCTCAGATCCGAGAGTGCAACAACGCTGCTGCAAGCTCCTCACTTTGGACCATGTCATTGAGGAGAACGACGATCGATACTTTAGGATCTTACCGGAAATACTCAAAATTGGCGTGCCATTAAATCAACCCATGCTAAACATCATTTATCGCAATGCACTAAAGCAAAAAGTCCCAGCATCAGTGCCGCACGTTCTTCATGAAATGGGGGAAAAAGGCATTCCACCAGATTCTTATACCTATATCTCGCTTCTAGATGATGCTGTGTCCCGCCGTGACCTTCAGCATCTTGATGTGATAATACGGGAAATTAGTAGTCAGGAGTCCCTCAGGAAGAACCCCTTTATCACCAGCAAGCTGCTTCACGTTTTCTATTCACTGGACCGCGTCAATCCCGATGAAGGGTGGGGAGATGCTGATGTCTTCGGCCGCATGCTTAACATATACAGCGCAGCACATGACGTCCAGCCTCTCGTGGATTTAGGTGTCGTTCGGGTAGACGAGTTCGCCCTAGAAGAACGTGAAGTATCTGGAAATCCCCCTCCCTCGAGTCACGCTCTTGTTATTATGATTGCTGCATTTCTGAGGATGCAGAATCGGCGAGTCGTCAACAATATTTTTGATCGCTTTATAAACCTTCGCGACCAAGGGCATGAATCGTTCGGACCACTAGCGGAAAGCGACTACATATATAACGTGTTCGTCCAGGAGTTTGCTCGGCGGCATTCAGGTCGGATGCGGAATTGCGTCAGGGTACTGGATAAGATGCTGCAGCCACTTCCCGCCACTGCAGTTCTCCGGTCTCAAAACAACCGCCAACTGGAGCAAGTGAAGCCGACTGTCCAGACATGGACCATTATCCTCACCGCGTTTATCCGCGATCGGCATCCCAACGCTATCGAAAAGATTCGAAGCATGATGCAGGAGCAGGGTTTGAAGTTCAATGAAGTCACCTGGAATGTAGCCGTCGCAGGTTTTTCCACTATGCAAATGGTGGATGAGACTGCCAATGCAGTGAACGCGATGATGAAAGAGGGATGGGCTCTTGATGAATATACACTGAATAGTATGGGGTGGATCCACGACCGTGATCGATTACTTGCTCTTGTGGATAATGTGGCCACCAAAATCCCTGGTCATGCAAATCATCGATTAGCTGAAGGTGAAGGACTCAGTGAGCCAGTCGAAATCGAAGGATACGACGAGCCAGTTGAAAGTCAAGAGAATGCGGAGATGACAGATGAATCACCCTCCTAGCTATACCAATACCCTCGGTGGTGGTGTTCTTGTTCATGTAAATTATTTAGACTTGGATCTCTCTTTGTTTAATTCGTTTGTACTGTACAGTGTCAACTATGGAAATGTAGAGCTATGTTCAGAATTTTTGTATATATGCATTATAGGATATTTAGCTCAGGCAGGCTATTGATCTGCCCTTGAATAAAAGACGAGAGACAATTTCATGCAGAAATCTCATCTTTGATTATTGGTTTGTGAGTGTTCAGGGTATCCTCATACTATATAAGTGAAAAGCAAAAAAAAAAAAAAAAAAAAAAAAAAAAAAAAAAAAAAAAAAAAGCCCGCTTTATGAACAACACGGAACTCCCAACGCCATGCGCTTCCGTAAGTTAATGATGGATCCTCCCGCACGGAAGAGGGTCAGCTCTTTCCTTTTTTCACTGACCCATGAATAGAGATATCTGGAATCCATCACTGTGCATTAGTAAAGACCGTTCATCAAAACGCGAAATAGCCCAGAAATAAATCATTGTTGGAAATGCACTATTTCCACCCAATAATTTTTTTTAAACAAAGAGAAAAGAGAATAAGAGAAAGAATGAAGAAAACTTACAGCCATAGCCAGACAACATAAACTGACGTACGGGCTTAGCCGTTCCCCAACCCGCGCGCATTTCCAGAATATCCCGAAGAAGCTATATGCATTCCACCACCGAACGGCGGTTAGTCAAAGAAAACAGACATAGTAAAACGTAGAAATAAATCCACTATAATAAACTTGCGTACCCGTTCTGGTTGCGATCCATAATCCCCGGCATTATCGAATGGGCATAGGTACTTGTGCAGATGATAAGGAGGATAACGAGGAGGAGGGATTGGAAGTTGAAAAGGGCAGTCTGTCAAGAAAGAAAGGAATGTCCCATTAGTAGCTGCTGGATGAAAAAGAGAGTGAACGTGAACAGCACGAAGGAAAGAGCTGCTACGGGATGGACGCGATCTGAGAGTTGCTTGCTTGTTACTTACCATGGTGGAAGTGAGTGATTGCTTTGTTGTTTGTTGAAGACGGTTTCAGTTGTAGGCCCCCGCAACACTCCAAATGAAATAAATCCTCCAGGGCAGTTTCACCTTTATATAAGCTCGGATTCTCACAACGCGTCGGCCGTTCATTCATCCACGAACTTCCTTTAAGACAAGATAAATAGAGACATGAACATCAGCATCATCATCATCACCACTTAAGTGTCGACAAGCACCCTAGCCTGCTTAGCTCATCTTCATCGCTTCGTTGCCCAACCATATCGCATAACACTGCCAAGTCACTATTAGACGCGCGCCACTCCAACTCTAACCTAAGCGCCATGGCTCAACCCCAACCTCCACCAGATAAGCAAAATATCAGGCTCGGCGATTTCGAGTACTTGTTCCATTTTCCCACACATATTCGAGACTATTACAAGCTCGAGCACGTGTTGGAACCCGCGGAATCGAATCCGATAGCTGAAGGAAAGGAATCTGCTCCTTCCAAGAAGACAGATGACGGAACAAAGGCACCGAATAACGCCAACTATCGAGCCCGCCGCAAATTAAGACATTTGACTAACGGCATGGCTGAACCGCGGGTTCGACTTACTCGTCATCAAGGCCAGCTGAACTTTGGGAATGAATGTATGTTACTCCTCCATATCCGTCTTTGTTACTTTAATTGTTGTCTTTTTTTTTTCGGGGGGGTTGTATTGCCAAATAACCTAACGAATGGATGAACAGTACGCCACCTCCTACACGCGTACGGGGACCCAACCCCGCACCCCTCTTACCCCCAGGAACCCCTCCCAGAAACCCTGCGCGTCCTCGACGAGATCGTGACAGACTTCATAATCGAAACCTGCCACTCCGCCGCACAATGCGCCACATACTCCCGCCGTCAGAAAATCAAAGTGGACGACTTCCGCTTCGCACTCCGCCGTGACCCCGTCAAACTAGGCCGTGTGCAGGAACTGTTCCGCATCGAGCGCGAGCTCAAAGAGGCCAGGAGAGCTTTTGACCAGAACGATGACCAGGTCGGGGCTAGTGGGAAGAAGGGACTGGAGGAATTGGCTGAGTCGGTTGCTGATGGTGGAGATGGGTCTGTGGCTGGAGGGGCGGGGACTGGAACGGGGACAACGGTAGGGAAGAAAGGAAAGGGGAAGGCTTTGTCTGTTAAGGCTACGGGGAAGAGAGGGGCGGATTCGGTTTCTGACGGGGACCTGTCGAAGAAGCGGAGAAGTGCTGGGGGCTCCGTTGCTTAATGTGACGCGTTGGATTAGGAGGTGAAAAGGTTCATTTTCCTTACTCGATTAGTCTATTTAGATGCCGCTGTGTTTATATTGCATTGCGATGGCGTTTGGGAACAATGATTGGATTTCACTCGTATCAGATTGCTGGGCTGACAAGCAACCAGAATGGTAGCAAGAGTTCAATCACTCTTGATATCTTTGATTACGTGTGCAATTCAAACGCGCCTTGGTGGGTGATAAAATTAAGTCTAATTTAAGATTCTATACCACATCATTCATTGACATGTCGCACTCGCTTTTCCACAGTAGACACGATATCCCGATATGACAAAAGAAAACAGTCTACATACGTTTCATCGCGTCATGTCCGCATACTAAGACAATACCCTTTTGCCGTCTTCTGAATAAACCAGCAAAAGTCGCAAAAGAAGATCATGAAGGATAAGGAACAGGAAGGATGAAAAAAGAAATGAAAAATGGATTCCAATAAAACGACTCCAATGACGCCTTGCTTTTGCCCCAACCCGAGCAACACTGCAATGGTGTGGTAAAAATCAGGGGCAAAGTCATATCCGCCGACTACATCCCGAGGAAGAGAAAACTAGGAATGTACTCTTGATGCATGGATGAACCATTGGACGCAGGTTGGTATTTGTTTTAGTTGCAATTTGCATATTGCGAAAATTGCATGTATCAAAAATTCCCTTCATGCTTCGACTCCACCGCGGTCTTGATTTCGTTGCTGGCCACCCCGTCCCCGACCGCCTCCGCGGCCGCCTCGCTGTCCTCCTGCTTCTCCTGAGCCGCCTGCAGCAGCAGTTCCCGCACCCTCGCCACCGAGGGTTAGTTGGGCAGTTGCTAATCGGTTGGAAAGTTCCATTTGTGTGCGGATGGTGTTGGCAAGGTAGGAAACCACCAGGACATCTTGGATGTGGTTATTACTGCGAACACAGGTAAGTTAATGTTAATGTATTCGAACAACGAATGTACAATTCGGCAAGGGGAGAAAGAAAAAAAAAAAAAAAAAAAAAAAGAGAACATACAAGTCATTTTCAATATCAGCAGGGTCAACTTTTGGAGCCAAGGCGAGAGCATTAAGAAGGAACTGTCCAAGCGCTGTAGAAGCGGGCGCTTCCTCATCCATCACTGAGTCGACGTATCTCGATACTCGATCGATCATGCCCAAAACGTCCTCGATGGCTTTTTCTAGGGCCTCAATATCTGTGAACAAATTGGCAGTCCGATTTTCACTGTCCCTTGCAGCAGCGATCGCCTCCAAGCCATTCTTCTCGGCGTCGCCGTATCTGATTTCATAAGGAACGGGTATGAATGCAGCGCTGTCAGCGGCCCTTTCTGCTGTCACGCCAACAGGCGCTGAAATGTACGTTCTAGTCTCAATGTCCTTCCCAGGAACTGTAGATACAGTTAGATGTACGGCTGGGTGAGGCCATGTTCCATCACCTGAGCCGCCGTAGAAGTTCTGAATGAGCGCGGAGAAGGTATTCAGTTCTGAGGATGTCGCGTACCAACCCACAAGAACTTCCTTGGGGTTAGCTTTCAAGTGTAGAGCAAGCATTTGCTTCTGGTATTCCATATCAACCTCGACTTGATCGGTTGTTTCCGTGTGTCCTACGGCGAAACAGGAGCGAATCTCAACTTCGGTGCCATCCTCGGATCGGGTTCCCAGAAGAGTACCGATGACCCGCTCCTGGTCAGCATTGCGACGAAGGGAATGATCGAGGATAGAGAAAATCGCCTATTAGACGTATTAGCATGTTTATAATGATTTTCGGTTTTCCCAGAGGGGTTCATATGCTTACTTGTGGTTGTATCACAACGTTGAGAGGGGCGGTGGAGGGTTGAGTGCCAATGGCTGCAGGGCCCAGAGGCCGCGAGAGATGGAGGAACGAATCGGTATCAGCCATGCTGGGCAGTTATATCTGTAATTTGATCCCACGTCACAGGCGTCACAAGCGTCAGTATCGGCGGTGGGAGAGTCTTGTTGGCGTGGAGAATTGCTATTGCGGTCGTCAACAAATGGGGCTCAAATTGTGTGTGCGGACCCAAGAGGAGATTTCACGCTAAGATAAGATAAGATCCACCAAACACTCAACCAGAAAATATATATTTTTGGCTGGGGCGCATTTCATAGAGGAAAGCACAACAACAACGCAACACACGGTAATAAAGCGTCAGAGTAACTTATTTCGAGATGGTCGCACCACGCGGAAGAGGTAGTAGGCCTTTCAATTCTCGAGGCGCCAGAGGAGGCCGTGGAAGAGGGCAGCGCGGCGGCCGAAAGCCAAGATTCGAAACCTCCAGGGTCGAAGAAGTTCAGTAGGTTTCTCTCTCTATCTCCAAGTTCTACATGACAATAACTAATTATAGCCAAGCCATGAAGCTTCCTCCGATGGTGAATCTGGCTTATCTGAGGGCAATGTAGATGCAGAGGATGAGGTAGAATTAATTGACGAGCTGTCTTCCGGCAGTGACGATGACGACGAGGAAGACAAAAAGACATCGAAGCCATACAATACACTATTGCAGCTGTTCAACGCTGGCCAAGATACCAATGGGCCTGCTCGAAAAAGGCGGAAAGTCGAGCACAGCTCCAAGAAAACGGAGGTTCAGATTAAAGAGCCGGAGGAGCTTGACGACGAAGCTGACTTGTCCGAGTCGGAAATTGAGGATGATGAAGAGGACGAGGATGCGGAAGGCATTGCTGTGGATGAAGGCGAAGCAGAAGATTCCGGAGACGAGGATGACGGTATGTGGAAACTTTTAGTACCAAGTATACCTCTATATTCTAACTATTTCCTTCAGCAACGGATCCATTCGAAACCCACTTTTCAAACGTAGATAGTTCATTGCTATTACAAAAGATAAATGTTATCTCAACAAAAGGCTGGAAGACACATAAAAATGAACTTCCAGGAAAATTCAGGCTCGTGCTCAGCCATCCAGACACGGGTGGGGATGCCGTGCAGCTTCCACCTCCCGCGCATGGGCTACAAAGTTTGAAGGTATGTATAGACGTTGCTTCTGAACGCCACAGGTCACTAAACTAATATTTTCCCACAGCTGAAGCAAAAACTTGCCAACCATGCGGGAGACCATATCGCTAAGTTTGAAAGCCTTACCTCGGGCCTTGTCCCTTACATTTTCGGCTACCAGGACCTCCTATTTGGGGCGCGAACGTTATCCAACTCAGCAAAGTTCCGAGATCTCTACTGCCTCCATGTTCTAAACCACATCCTTAAAACTCGAGACAGGGTGTTGAAAAACAATTCCCGTTCACAAAAGGAACCTGACCAAGATCTGGAACTGCGAGATCAAGGCTTTACCCGCCCAAAGGTGTTGATCATTTTACCGACACGACAGGCATGCGTGCGGGTTGTGGAGTCTATTACTAAATTATACCATGCAGAGCAGCAAGAAAATAAAAGCAGGTTCTACGATACCTTCTCTGCGGCTGACGATAAATCATGGGAGGACAAACCCGACGACTTTCGAGAATTGTTCGGTGGGAACGACGATGACATGTTCAGATTAGGGCTAAAGTTCACTCGGAAAACCATCAAGTACTTTTCCCAGTTCTACAATTCCGATATTATCCTGGCGAGTCCACTGGGTCTCCGGATGGTTATGGATAAAGAGGAGTAAGTTATAACGAACGCCGATCCCAGGATGCCTATTCAAAATCAGCCACTAATGTAATGTTACAGTGGTAAAAAGCAAGACTTTGATTTCCTTTCATCAATCGAGGTGGCAGTTGTCGATCAAGCAGATGCCCTTCTAATGCAGAACTGGGAACATATCGAATACGTATTTTCACACCTAAACCTTCAACCGAAGGAATCTCACGGCTGTGATTTCAGCCGCGTCCGCAACTGGTACCTGGATGGCCAAGCCAAATATGTCCGCCAGACACTCGTCTTCTCATCCTTCATTACCCCTGAAATAAACGCCCTCTTCTCGTCGCAGATGCACAACACGGCTGGCAAAGTCAAAGTTACCCCAACATATGAAGGTGCCATCCTAGACATACCACTGCCCGTCCCCGTCAAGCAAACTTTCTCCCGCTTCAATTCAACCTCGCCCGTGAAAGACCCCGACGACCGCTTCAAGTACTTTACCAGCGCAGTACTTTCATCTCTCGTCCGCAGCTCGACCGGCAGCGGAGGAAAGCCTCATGCATCGGGTACCCTGATCTTCATCCCATCCTACCTAGACTTCGTCCGTGTTCGCAACTACCTGGCAACCTCATCACAGACAGAAAACCTCTCCTTTGGCGCGATATCGGAATACACATCTGTACGCGACGTGGCTCGCGCACGAACACATTTCTTCAGTGGCCGCCACTCAGCCCTGCTCTACACGGAACGAACACACCATTTCCGCCGCTATCAAATTCGCGGGGTGAAGAGGGTGATTATGTATGGTGTCCCGGAGAACCCTGTTTTCTGGGGGGAGATTGTGGGGTTCCTGGGCTTGGATCCTGCAGGCACGGCGGAGGCAGCTGAGGGCGGGGTGCGGGCGTTGTTTTCGAAATGGGATGCTTTGAAGATGGAGAGGATTGTTGGGACGAAGAGGTTGGGGAATATGCTCATGGAAAAGGGAGGGGATACGTTTAGTTTTGTGTGAGACTGCCATGTTTAACGGGACTATGTTGTCCTACTCCTTAAGAGAGTACTTATCATATACCCCTATTCCGACCGATCACTTTGCATGACCTATAGGGAAATTCTTCCAGCTGTTCATTGCCCTCTACTGTTTTTGCTAGAGATATAGATTCTTACTATTAGAATAGTTATCAACATGTACTGTACATTAGCCATTTGTCTGGGAATCTATCCAAAATATCCAGTTCAAATTCTCCGACTTCGGATACTCCAACGGCTGGCAAGGTTTGTACTCCCCTCGGCTCTTCTTCTTTGCTTTTTATTCCAATCGGGACTAGAGGACCTCAATTCCCCGCCTCTCACTTCACAAACCGAGGGGCCTAGACCGTGCGTCAAAGCGCAATTCAGGATGTTAACAACGTCCGAATGACTTTTTTGTCCTCCCTCGATGCCATTATAGCGATGCTATATCTGAAATTCCGCCTTGGAGCCTGCCGAAATGGCGTGTGTATCCCCTCGTATACTGGGTAGGGCCGAAGGATACATTGGTCCCCTGCTCATTCACAATCGACTCTTTGCCGTGGTATTTATTATCCTGTGGAAATGATGCTGCACACGAGATTTATATATCATCTTCTACGGCCAATTCCCCCCCCCCCCCCTCCCCCCCCTCCCCCCTTCATAATTATTTACCATCCCCATATTTCTCTTAATAATAAGAGCCTTGATAAACACCGAGCGTGTTGAACCATTTACCGGTTACTACTGCTATTTAACGGGACAACTAACTGACTCCGGAAGCCAAAGAAAGCCTATCCATGGATTCTACATACATTTTTATTGGCGAATAATCAGCCGTCGACCCGGCCGAGCTTATGCAGGGTACATGTATGCCACAGCCATCGGTTCATAATTCAGCTCAATCCCCGGAGCAAAGCTTCGACTGGTTAAATAACTAACATCCACCAGTCAGTCACAGGCAAAGGCGAGGCAGTCTGATTGATGTAACTATTTACGCTTAGTAGCGTGGTTTGGCCGGCTTGTTTCCCCGCGCGGCATCTCGGGTTTCTTTTTTCTTTTTTTCCCTCCTCTTATTATCATTATTGTGGAGGGGAATATAGACAGCCGGACAAGAGAAGAGCTGGATTGATGGCGCAGGTTTAGATTTTTGATTCCCCTTTTGCCCGTGTTCGTCGGCGTATAAAAGAAACAGCTCCGGGTGTTTTTTTAATATTTTCTTTTCTTTTTTCTTTTCTTCTCCTCCTCTTTTCGAGGGATTGATTACCCTTTCTTAAAAAACCTTCCTGTGGGGTTTTTGATATAACGAAACAAAAGCGAAAAACATATTTAACCATCATCCGGGACCAATAAATAATGCCCGCGCATCCAATCGAGAGCTGGGCGGCGGCGGGGTGTTCTTCGTCTCTCGAACACCAACCCCCAGACAGCTCCTCCGTTGATGAGCAATGCCCTCAAGCAGAAGAAGATATAATAACAGTTATCGAACAAGCTCCCTCGGAGCCGTTACCTAGCAAACAAGCGCATGCCGAACAGACATACGCCGAGGAAGACGAAGAACTTCAATCATCTTCCTCTCGCCCGTGCACAGTCATAGCAGCAGTTGCTCCCTCTCCCTCCATCCGCTCACACTCATGCCCAGCGGACGCCCTACTACCTAGCCATACTACTACTACTACTACTCCTCCTCCTACTCATAATAATGATGTATCGGGCTCTCAATCTACGCTTGCCCACCGCTCTCCTCCAGCCAGCTGCGAACCACCAAGGGGCGCAAGCAGTGAGGACAAACGGAGCACCGTGGTGCAATCATGGCGCCGCAAGCTCCGGCACACATGGCTCATGAGCAAGGGGATGGTCATGGTGATGCTGGCGCAATTCTTCGGCTCGTCTATGAATGTCATGACCCGTACGCTGCAGCTGGATGGGAGCCATGGGAAGGGAATGCATCCGTTTCAGGTGTGTACTATATATTCTTTTTCAATTTTGTTTTCTTAACTATACACCATGAACCTTGCATATGCCATATATGATATGATATCTCATCCCACCCCTCAATAAATGCCTAGAAAAGAAAAAAAAGGCTCACGGAAATGATTCCAAACAGATCCTCTTCGCCCGCATGGGCATGACCGTCCTCCTCAGCCTCCTCTACATGCTCTACGCCCGCGTCCCCCACCCCTTCGGCATCCGCTCCATCCGGCCCCTCCTCCTCCTACGCGGCGTAAGCGGCTTCATCGGCGTCTTCGGCCTCTACTACTCGCTCCTCTACCTCGCCCTCTCGGAAGCCACCGTGCTCACCTTCCTAGCCCCCATCGGCAGCTGCTACGCCTGCTCGCTAACCATGCCCAACGAGACCTTCACGCGCAGACAGCAGTTAGCAGCGCTGTCGTCGCTGGTGGGCGTCGTGCTGATTGCAAGGCCCGCGTCGTTGTTTCGTGGGTTTGCTGAACAGCACCATCACCAGCAGCAGCACCAGCAGCAGCAGCAGGAGGAGCAGGTATCCGCGACAGGCGCAGCCCAAGATCCCTACCAACGTACCCTCGGCACCCTAGCTGCGCTCCTAGGCGTCACCGGCGCCACGGTCGCCTACACCTCCATCCGCATCATCGGGAAACGCACGCACCCGCTCGTCAGCGTCACGTATTTCAGCGGCATAACCACCATCATTTCGCTACTGGGCGTCGCGCTGATACCGGCCATCAGCTTCCGGCTGCCGGGCAACATGGCGGAACTTCTGCTCCTGCTCGGCCTGGGGACGTGCGGGTTCCTATTGCAGTTTTTGCTCACGGCCGGCTTGTCGTATGTACCGCCGCCGTCGGTTATGGAAGAAAGGGAAAAGGAGGTGGGAGGGGTTCTGGGGGGGTGAGAATGCTGGCGTGGGCGTGGGCGTGGGCGTGGGTGGGGGTGGGGGGTGGGGGGTAGGGATGTGGATGTAGAGCAGGACGGGGTAGGTAAGGGAGGTTCGAGAGGTGCCTAGGGAAGGGAGGAGAAAGAAAGCCGCGCATCGGGGGAGTAGCGAAAGTGATGAAAGAAGGAAGAAAATGCGAAACCTTTCTTTCCTCCCTCGCTGGATTTCAAAAGCAACATCCATGGTATACACGCAGATGCTCTTTGCGCTGCTGTATGACAAGTTGGTATTCAACGCGACGCCGTCGCCGGTTAGTTGGGCTGGGTCGGCGATTATTTTGGCCAGTGCGATTTACGTTGCGTTGGTGAAGGAGCGGGGGAAGGAGAAGGACGGCAGTGGTGGGGGTGCTATTGAGGCTCAGGGTGAGGGAGAAGGATCCAAGCATACGCGATCCCGGAACGCGGAGGATGTACGGCTGGCAGAGGCAGAGGCAGAGGCAGAGGTAGAGGAGGGAAGGGGACTTTTGGCTGATTACGATGATGATGACGATGATGATGATGATTATGATGATTACGACTTTGACAATGATAATGTTGGTGGTGGGAATGGGAATGGGAATGGGCGCTGAACCGGATGGGGCTGGCGAGGTGAATCTCCACATCCCATTACGAGAAAGTGGACAGACGATGGGATGAACCTGTATATTGACGTGGATATTAGAGAAACTATTAAAAAGGGAAGATAGGACTTGGAAGGTGGAAAAGGGGGGGGGGGGGTTGTTGCCAGGCGGTATGGTATGTATTGTCCCCCTCCCCCTTTTTGGGAACATGATATACGAGATATAAAAGACGCATAGCGATGGATGGATGGATAGGGATAGATAAAAAATTCATTTTGATTATGTACTGTAAATAGAACTACAGCAGAAATGCCCAGACAATATTCGAATCTGTTTCTTTTTTTGTTTTTTTTTTTCTCTTCCTCCATCCCATTAACAAATACAAATGCCACTCCCAACCTCCAATGCCCTTTATATTTTATACGATCAGGTAACTTAAAGAAACGGAAGTCCTCGTATACATAGATATAACACCATCTCACTTTTTTTGAGCTTCTTCATATCCATATATTATATCCATTCTTTTTTAAATTCATTTTTCCCATTCCATTTTTTCCCCTTTCGGATCACCATCTAGTAAAAAATTTAAAAACGGAAAAGGAAATGAAAAATGAAAAACGAAAAGCCAACATGTAGATGTACATACATACAAACAAACCCAGGAAAAGCGGAGAATAAGAGAAAAAAAAAAAAAAAGACACGACACCCCTCTCTGTACCGTACCCCCCCCTCAGCCAGCCCTCTTTCAGACCTCTATCTTCTCAAGTCCACGCATACACATACACAAACGCATACCCCGAGACTACATCACACAAACATAACCACATTCTTACCCCCGAGTAGTTCTCCCGAGAAGCCCAGGGCCGAAAAGAACCTTATATCCATCCCACCTCCCCTCTGCGACAGGAAGGAGAACAGAACGGCCCAAAAGAGAAAAAAGACACCTCATCCACCTCTCTTCTCCCACCCTATCCCGCCCCGACCCATCCCATTCCCCCGCGTCAAAAACCATCCACAACCGACGAAATGGGAGCATCTAGCAACGCAGCCCAGTATTATTATCCGCCTCATTTGCCCGCCTACCACACTACCCCGTAACAGCCTCCTTACTCCGTCCCCGCTGCTGTGTCGAGGAACTTGCTTTCCGATCTCCATTCTCGCGATCCTCATCGCTACCCGACGGCGAGGACGCGTGGTAGGCGTGGCTTTCTGTGTCGTGAAGTGAGGTGCGGCTGCGGGTCATCTGTTGGTGTTGGTTGTTTCCATGTTAATATCGGAGGATGAATAAGAAAAAGGGTACAAACAAACTCACCCAAGCCCTAACCCCCCCAATCAAACCCAAACTATACCCCGTCGCAAAATCCTCGCTCCGCCCCGCCCCAACACCAACCCCGGGACTCTCCGGCCGACTCGGAATCTCCAACCGGCCCAACTGCGTCCGGCTCCCGTTCCCAATACCAAAATAGGACCCATTCCCATTATTATTATTATTGTTGTTGTTGTTGTTATTGTTATTATTATTATTATTATTATTATTATGCCCCGGACTCCCTCGATGACTGCCACCAAACACAAACCCGCCGCCGCTGCCATCCACGCTACTTCGCGCGGGACTCGAGGGCCGGCTGTTCAACCAGAACTGGCGCAGTTCTTTACCCAGCTCCTGGCCCGTGACGGACCAGTTATTCTTGATGCTATCGCGCAGCTCGGCGACGTGGCGTTTGATCTCGAGCTCGTTCTTCTTGAGCCAGGAGACGTTTAGTTCTTGGCGGGTGGTGCCGCGTTTTAGTTGGCGGGTGATGTATTTTTCGTAGTCGCGGACGATGCTGTTGGGGGGTGGAAGGTTAGGTAGGTGTTATTAAAAAAGTGGGTGCGGTGGGCACCAGCAAACAAAGGTAGAATAAGAAGAAAACGACATACTGAGTAATAATCCCCGTGGTACTAACACCCTCTGTCCGCTGCGTAACAAGGAACTTGCCCTGCGCCTTGATCGGAGCGTAGATATCATCTCCTTCCGCGGCTCCGTAAGGTAAATCGTCATGAGCGACATAGTCAATCTTGTGCTCCTCGAGGAACTCCGGTGTGACAATCCAGGGGCAATCGGGGATGACTTCATCAACCCATCGGCAATGGCGGACAGTCTCCGACCTCTCCGCGCCAGTCAACACGGTCAACCCCTTGCGCTTGTGCGTCTCATGGTCAGACGTGACGCCGACGATAAGGTATGTGTCAGGAAAAGCTTTCTTGGCTTGTTCCAGCTGGCGCATGTGGCTATATCATGTATATAAAAGAAAAAAGAAATCTCCCATTAGCTGTTTCGCCTTTCAAAAAGTAGCCGCAGAACAAACCCAAAAAAAAAAAAGACATACCCAAGATGAAACAAATCAAACACTCCATCCGCATAGACTCGAACAGGCCTCCCCGTCGGCGGCGGGTTGGTATGATAGCCCGCCGGATCCTGCAGCCCGGCACGTTCAGGCGGCTTCATGCGGCCCTCCTCCTGCGCCGCCACCGTCGCAGCAGAAGCCGTCGTCACCGTCGCAGCCAGGCTCGGCGTGCGGAACAGCGACGGCGCCGCATGCCGCTTCGTCCGCTTCTCGATATCAATGCTCGCCTCGGTGGTCTCGGAGGGTTCACCGGGGTCTTCTTTGTGGATGCTATTGTTGTTATTTTTGCTAGGGGAGGAGGAGGGAGTGCCGTGGGCGGGTGTCACTGGTGCAGCAGCGGCAGAGTTATCTGCTGTGGTGGAGCGGGTACGGGCCCGTTTGGAGGGTGGGTTGGTCGCGGCGTCCGTGGATGATGGAGAGGGCTTCTTGTGTTTGGCCGATGATGAGGTAGAGTCGTCAGCGTCCTCGCCAGAGGCATCACGGGAGGAGGGCTGGAGGAGGTCTGTAGTGGAGGATTTAGGGATGGGAGCTGCGGTGAGGTGGGAGGAGCTCCGCTTCCGTTTCGTGGAGCTGATGGAGGAGGGGGACGACATGGTCAATTGATTTTGTGTGTGTGTGTGTGTGTGTGTGTATGTTGGTACCGACTATGAGCTGATGGCGAACGATGATTTCAATTGTCAAAACGAGGAAGAGAAGATAGAACCAAGGATAAAGAGACGTTGTTGTGTGTGGGCTTTTCTCGATGTTCAAGGGTTGGTTTTTGTGCAATTTATTTTTATTTTTTATTTTTTAAATTTTTTTCCCCCCCTTTCGCGTCCTGGCACGGACTGGAAGGAGCTGGCCGGGAAGCACTCTGTTCGACGACGGGACGATTTGTATCCGGTCCAATTGGGGCGAGCAACGCCCAAAGCCAAGTTGAGCTGGGGAAAAAAGGGGAGAAGAACCGTTGTGGTGTGTGTCCGTCGATAGGATCGGATGTAACCAGCGGGGAGTTGGGAGAGAAGGGAGCAAAAAAGAAAAACAAGGGGGGGATTGGATTTGTTCCTCTGGAGAGATTCGAGCAAGGAGAAAAAGAAGCAGAGATTTATTGTTTTGCACGGTAACGCTCAATAATCAAGCGTTGGAAGCTAGGTGAGGTGGTTTAGAGGAAGAGTGATGATCAATCCGAAGAAGCAGAATAATATTAAATATAATAGGACTCCGTAGTACAGTCCAGAAACGCCATGGCCTGTGGCCCGCGGGAAGAGCAGAGCAGAGCGTGCAGGGCAGAGTCAAGCCCGCAAAATTACGCCGTTGGCCGAAGAAGCAGGGAACAGTGGCACTCGGTGGACGGCGGTGGAGGATGGAAGCAGTGGTTGGCCGGGCTGAGAAGGGGCCACTATAATTTGCACCCTTGGTAAGTTGGTTAGACCAAGACGCTGGGAGGTTGGATTGGAGATTATTGGAAGAGTGGAGGTTGCTGTTGGTCCGGCACTAAGGGCGAGCTAGGATGGCAAACAAGAGGGAGAGAGAGGGAAAGGGAGATCTGGTAATGATGCAACGGGGGTAAGAATAAGAATAATAAATAGCGGGAGAAAGAGGGGAAGAGGAGGGAGAAACGGACATAGGACAGGACAGGTTTCGCTGCGTAGTTGATAAAACCGTCCCAAACAGGCAAAGATGAGGCTATTCTGATCCATTGCATTGCGCAGCAAGACGAGACGGGCGATGACTAAGCCACTGCCCCCTTCCAGACCTTCCAGACTTGACTTTATCATAACAAGGCACTTTCCATACATATATGTATTATATATATATACACATCACATAACTACTACAACATGAAGAAGAACGATGAAAACTCTACCAATTGGAAAACCCCGAAACCCCGAATTAAAACCAGCCAGAGACTACTGACTTGCCCTTCTTCGCTCCAATTGCTATAGGCGGGAAAACATAGGAAAAAAATCCAGACCAACCAAACAACCAACCACCACCAACCACCATAAAGAAGTTAAAAAAAAACAAGAGAGAGAAAAAGAAAGAAAAAAAAAAAAAAAAAGGCCGGGAAAGCCCCGCACCCGCACACTAAATGCCGAAATGCAACGTTTACTATGTTAGAGAGAACATATACACTTGTTCTGTCTTCTTTCCATGCTCTTCTCTTCTCTTCTATCGGATCGGATCTGTCCGTATAGCTTAACTTCCCCCCCCCCTCCTCTTCTCCTGTATACCTCCCGGCGTCTGTATTATCCTGATCAAAACCCAAATCGTCAACTCAAAGATTCAAAATCAATTCAAGCCTAGTTGACATAGAGCTCACGCCTCTGTGCACGTATGTGTATGCATCTATGACCCGCGCGCAGGAGTGTCATATCTGTCCATATATCCATATATCAGAGTGAATTGAATATATATAGAAATATATATATATATATATATATATATTAAATAAAAAGGAGAGAAGACAGAGGAATAGTAATAATAATAAAATAAAATAATCACAGACGAAGCATGTGTAAGAGTTGCGAAAAAAAGTTAAAACAGCAAAAACAGTAAAATAGAGATTACACATGCAAAAAAAAAAAGAAAAAAAAAATCAAGACGTTGCCATGAAGAATATAACAGGAAAATCATAAAAGCAAGGATAGAGAGAGGAAAAAGCGAAAGGGAGAGACAGAAATAGCAAAGAGAAGAAGAAGAAAAGGACGGAAGAAAAACAAACACACTTAAAAATCCAAAAAAAAATCAAAGGCACATGCAAAGCAAAAAATAAGTCGCTCAACTCTTTCAACATCACATCCATTTCCCCGACAGAATACTTTAAGATTTAAGTTGAGGATGGAGGTGCGGTGATAGCGGTAGGGGAGAGGGGGAGAAGGGATGGGATGGAAAGGCCCTTGGCGATTAACTTATATATTTGATTTTGCGAGTGTAAACAAAAAAAGGTGCAAAAAGAAGGGAAAAAAGCTTATATATCATAAAATAATCCGAGTTATGTTAGTGTGCGTGGTTGTGTGAAGGCGTGTGTTTGTACCGTAGATAAGAATAAAAAGAATAAGAATCATACCGTACCCGGGAACAAGCAAGATCTTTAAGGGAAAATAAAATAGAAGAAAGGAAAAGAGACAGAAAACACTGTTGAGGAGAAAATAGGGGTGAACACAAGAGAGGGAAAGACGATGTAAAAGAAGGGAGAAAAGTGTAGATTAATTTAGGAAAGAAATAACAATCATGAGGTAGACCGTCTCTCGCTACCGCGTAAGATATCATTCGGACTTGTGGACGAAGGAGACGCAGAGATTACACCAGGCGATTCAGACTGCGCGTTAGGGGTACCTTGGCGATTCGATTGTTGCTGTTGCTGCCCTTGCTGTTGTAGGGGACCCGGTGTACCTCCTCGCTCGCTCCTAGCGGTATCCTCTGCACTATCCGCTGTTCCAGCTCCCGCGCCGCCTTTGCGCACCTGGCTCTCAAGATCCTTATCCTCCTCGGTATGATCGAACATATCCTCGTCGTCGCCCATGTCAGTCAGCACTTCGGTGCCATCGCCTAGCAAGATGATTCTACCCGATCTCCCTCCTCTGAGTCGCGTGTCGAGATCGGGCTCGTAGTCATCGAGGCCTTCGTCTCCTTGACGGCGGACGCCAGGGCCACGGAATTCCGCTGGAGGGATAAAATAAAATTCCTCGTCAGCTCAACGACCCTACGCGTGGGGGGTGGGGACAGATATAGGGAACAAAACATACCATATTCAGGTGGTGCGCATGGCCCGTCACCATTTGCAACCCGGTCTGCAATAGTTTTGTACCACTCCTCCTTAGACTTTCCATGGAGCAGCCCAATGATGACCATAGTCATGTTATCGCACCCGACGCCTCCCGTTTCGCTATTAGAAGCCAAGCAATTATCCATCATGTTTTCACAAATCCGATATAGCTCCTGCTTCGCAGCAATACCCCGTCTAACAAATTCAATCACCGCCTGTGAGGACTGGCAATCCCAGATACCTAAAAATAGCATGTTAGACGACAGAACAAGGGCGTTTTTCCCCAAAAAAAAACAAAAAACAAAAAACAAAAAAAAACTTCGAAACGAAGGAAGATAAAAATCATACCGTCACAAGCAATCACAAGGAACTCATCATCCTCTGTAATCTCATGTGTAGTTACGTCAGGATAAGCAGTAACAATCTGTTGTTCTGGCGCGAGATCTGCACTCTTCTTAAACTCGAAATCACCAAGTGCACGGGACAGTGCGAGGTTGCCATTGACTCTGCCGTAATCAACGAAGCCGCCAGCAGCACTTATTCGGGCCTTTTCACCTGTTCACATTATGAGCAAAGTCGAAAATGATCGCTGGGGAAATTTATAAAACATTGCAGGCGGAGAAATGGATTCAAACGAACCTTCGTTTTGTGGCTTGTGATCGAACGATAGCGGTTTCGCCCTCCCCTTGACTCCTAGTACAGATCTCGAGTCTCCAGCATTCGCCTGTGAGGATGCAATCAGTATATACAAAGCCACCAACAGCATTGTCATGACACAAATGAAGAAAAACACGGAGGAGCACATACTACTCTGATCTTATCCTTAGAAATGACTGCAACAGAAGCTGTGCAGCCCGAGACTTCTTCCTCATATTTAGGATCTGGAATTGGCAGTGATTAGTCCAGAACACAGGAAGGAGGAGGAGGAAGCGAGAGAAAGTGAAACGTAAAATGGAAGATCGCTATAGAGGTAAGATTGCTTTGAATGGATATGAGTGTGTGGGACCGACCTTCCAAAATAGCCCGATCAGTTGCCAAAAAGCCATCCTTCAAAGCCTGCTCAATATCCCCCTCTGCAAAAGAGTCTTGTAGCGTAACGATGCGGTGGACATTATCTCCTGCAAACAGGGCGACCTTTTCACCGCCGTGACCGTCGTAGACACCGAAAAAAGATAAGCGTTTGTCGGGGTGGGTTGGACGGTGCGCCTTGTCTAGGTATTTGGCTTGCAGGTCCAGGACTGCGGCGTGTGCGTCCTCCATACTTATTCTCCACCCCTGCATCGCAGATACTCCGTAGAGTACGCATTCATCTTGGCCTTCATCTGATATCTGTATTCAACGAGTGCGGGGAAGAAAATCACGCCATGTTAGCAAGATTCATCATCACAAACAAACAAGGGGAAACGGTTTAATATCAGCCAGGGTCAAAAAGATTTTCAACTCCTGATGGTAGTCCCCCTTCCCCTCGCGTCTCCTTCTTCCTCCTTCGAGGCATGTAAATGTCATGTACCAGGCACAGAACAAGATAGGTCCGTGCCCCCAAGCCAGAAAGCAGGGAGCTTATCGCAAGGAAATAAACAGGTCCCTTGAAAAACAACAATCGAGTAGCCATGAATTGAGAGGGTGGGGGGAAGGTGGTTCCAGGTTCCGTAGAGCGGGCGTTTGGGATCTGTGTTCTGAGCAAACAAAAGCAAAGCAGCAAAGCGGGGCAACTCACTTTCTCTACCACAGGCTCCGACAAAGTCTGTCCCATGATTGAATGAAAACGAAGATGTGTCGGAGACGGTTTATGAGGGAAGAATAGCAGTCGCTAGTACGGGCATATACGGTCGAGAAGGGAGAAAGGGAGCGTTACGGTAGTTCGCCCCGGAGGGGGGGGGGGGGGGGGAGTGAGTGAGCGAGAGGTTGAAGTGGTGGGTTAGGTGGAGGTAAGTCACTTGGTGGTGATATATGAGGGGACGGCTGGAGGAGACAGATGTGCAACGCAACTTAATGAGGTTGAGTATAGTATTATTTTCCAGTCCCAGCAGCAGCAGGAACCAGAGAAAAAAATAATAGACAGCGGGAGCAGAGAAGAAGAGGAGCAAATGGAGGGTGGAGTTGGTAGAGGGGGCCCAGAAGGAAACGGAGGCGGAAGGCGGAAGATGAATCGATTTTAGACGCAGTGAAGAGATTTCAGCGCCAGCCCTGCACGGAGCAGACTAGCAAGCAGGCAGGCAAGGGCACGACAGGCAGCTATGAGCTTCGGGGAAGGGAGAATGCGGACGCAGGGTCATAGAATTGGGGCCAGGAGAGGCGGATGAAGGCGTTACAGAGCAGCAATGGGTGCTATTCCGTGGGAAATGGTTGTGGTGGAGGTTGTTGTTGTTGATATTTAAGAGGCAGCGAAGAGGGCGCGGAAAGTGGTGTCTTGTCTGTCTGTCTGTCTGTCTGTCTGAATATCTGTGGTGGTTGTTGGCTAAATAGACCAGAAATCGTGGATAAATAACTAGTGGTGACTCTGATGTGCTTTGAAGCCTTTGAAGAAGGTTTAACGAAGTCATGTGGAGAAACATCAAACAGTTAAATATTTACTATACATACAGCGTAGTTACACAATATATATATATATATCTCTATATATTTTTCATACATCGTCGGCTGCTTCCACTGCTTCCACGTTGATGTAATGTTCCTTCTCCCCTCCCGCCATTCCTTCCAGAACCCGCTAGTTACCATAAATATTTATATAATAATACCTTATCCTTGTGTATTTAAATATCCTCCTCGAATGCTACTACAGGCAACCCCCGCCGCTATCCTATCCCTACGCATACAGCCAACTTCCATCATTATTATGTGCGCACCTCTATGTAGTTATCTATCTATTCAAGAACCTCGTGTTTTTTTATTCTATTCCACTCCATCCCATTCACCCCGTCCCCAATGCCCGCGGCCCCCAGCGCCCAGCATGAATTAAGCCTTGGGAAAATCCGTTCTCTTAGCAGCGGCGCGGAGGAGATTGTGGGTGGGGGAAGTATTTAACTAATCCAAAGGAATGTCAATATGAAATAGTTAATAAAAATAAAAAAAAAGGAAAAAAACCCCCGCAAGGTTTGCAGAAATTTTTTCCCCACCCGGAAATTCTAAAACCAGCCACACAACACGATGAATAACTAATAAATAACTAACTGAAGCAACCCCGTTCCCCGCCTTCCTCCCCCGTCTGCTATTAATTACATAGTTAATCGGAGATTTGGATCTTCCTCTTCCGTATTAGTGCCAGTCCCTCGCTGCTACATCCTCACCCCAGCCTCACCACATCCTCACCTCATGCTCACCCTCCTCGCCCTTCTTGAATCACCCTCATCACCCACTAGTCACCCGCTATTGCAGTCACCATGCTATAGAGCTCTTCAAATCTGTCAGGTTTACCTGATGGAGTCATTTCCTTTACAACAGTCAGTGGTAATGAGCTCACTTGCTTAAATCAACAGAAGAACTCATTTCTCTCTTCTTTCGCTTTTTTTTTATTTCTCATTTTGTTGATTATTCAACAAAAATTTCAGTCTTGAATATTTTTTTTTAATCACTTGTTTATTTACAAGCATCAAACGCTCGCTTACGCTCGCTTTGCTGCTTGCGCAGCCCTCTCTACCTCTACCCCCTTACCTCCTCTACCACCACCGCCGCCTCTACCGCCCCGCAACGCCCCCTACCACTTCCACTCTCTATCTCTACTCTCCCCTTACCACCCCTTACCACCCCTTTCACCCTCTACCCTCTCTACCATCACCACGGCCTCTACAGCCTCTATCACTCTCTTCCTCTATTACTCTCTTTCTCTATCACTCTTAGACTGGCCGGCGGGACCATGAATTTCACATTTGATCCCATTTGGTCTGGTCTAATACATTTCTTAGCGTGAGTCTCACCAGGACCAAGTATTAAAAAAATCTGAAAATGGATCATTTCTGAGAGAAATGGCATGAAAAATGACCAGATTTAATACAAGAACAGTGAAATGAAAGTAATTTCTCAGAATAAACTGTGAAAGATAATCATTCTTTCAAAATCAGAATAAGACTGAGACTGAAGATTAAATTCAGTCTTATTCAGTTTATTCAGTGATTGCTTATATAATCAGAATTTGATAATAATTATTAATAATACTTATGAAACAACTAAATACATTCTTATATAAGTTTATTCTTTACTTTTTTATAAAAACTATACTTTTCTGATATACTATAATCAGAGATATTAAACTATCTGATAATTTTATATTTTATAATTATAAGTTTCTTAATTATTTCTTCTTATAATTATTCTCAGTAATAATAATAAATATCTTAACTTAAGTTAAACTTTTATTTCATTTTTATCTCTGTTAATAAAATTATTAGAATATTATATATTATTAGTGTAATAATTAATATATACTTTTATAATATAACAGAACTGAAGCAGTGACTAGTTAGCAGTATTATATAAAGATAGTTATTTAAGAAGCTGTATAAGTGAGCTTAACTATCTTACTTAAATAGCAAGCTCATGAGCTACAGAGTTATTACAAGAATATCACAGATATAATACTTAGTATACTAAGAAAATTGTATAAGAAATGCAGTAACTCTTATATATCTTTTAGTAGAAGAAAAATAAATTACTGACTTCTTTTATAAGAAGTCAGTATCTAGTTATTTTATATAGATAATAAGCAGATACTCTTCTCTTATTTTATAAGTAAGAATAGCTGAAGTAATATCTCAGTGATATTTTACTACTAAGAAAGAGTAATCTGCTAATCTTATATAGAAGTAAAGTTCTTATATTTATTAATTAGATCTTTCTATAACATATTTAAATAATATTATAGAGTGATTAAAAACTAATTTAAATAGTTTATGAAATAAATGAAATTATCTGCAGAGAAGTAATAAGCTGTACAGAACTGTAGCAGAGTCTTAATATAATTAGAGATATAATAATACTCTTCTTTTTAAGAGTATAGTTCTAATACTCTTAAGATTATCAGATTAGAAATTATCTTTATTATATAGTAATAGTTATCAACTGATTTGACAGTATATATACTATATATAATATAAAGAAATAGATAAGTTTCTCTGCTAACTATATAAATTTTCTCTTTCTTATCTCTATTTAAATCAACTATGTAATAAGTGAATTTCTTATATATTAATTGAAATGTGAAAAATATAGTTAATAAGTAACTTACAAATCTCTTAATATATTTTATTCTATATATAAAACTCTCTGTAAAAGTGATATATTTTAGAGATAAAGCTAATAGTAATAATAGAATTTTTTAAAAAGATTCTCTCTTTTCTTATAATATATTTTTCTTTTCTCTCTCTCATCTATAATAGTGAGTGTATGAAAGCATCATTCTTAAAAGATAATAAGAAGCTTATTCTAATATTTTCTAGTAAGTAATAAATGTCTTTATAGTGTAGCTGCAGTCTTTATAACTGTTAAGAAAGTCAGATTGAAGATGAAGACAGTGATGTTAATAAGCTGCAGAAGTACTGCTCTTATTATCATATCTTTTTCTTCTTCTACATTTCTTACAGCTGCAGCAGTAGTAGCTGTGTCTTATAGTAAGATATCATTTCTTCTACTAATCAGTTTATCTATATTCAGTTCATTCTCTATCTTCTCTACTACTATTGTAATATCATTTTCTCTCTCAGCTAACACAGTGATGTCTAGACTGGCCGCCGGGACCATGAATTTCACATTTGGTCCCATTTGGTCTGGTCCCATACATTTCTTGGCGTGAATCCCGCTGAGACTAGTCATTAAAAAAACATGCAAAGTGACCATATATGAGATCTTAAAATGGAACCATGACTTGAAAAAAATGAGAAAGTGGTCTCATTTGGTCTCATTTAGTCCCATTCTTGGCATAAAGTTACTATTTTTAGACATTTTAAGGTTTTTTTTAGACTATTTTTAATTTTTTAAAAAGTAACACTTTTTGGTAATGCTCAAATGAGATTTAAAGTCATTTAAAGCAATAAAAATAATTTAAATTGAGAAGTGGAAATCATGGTCTCATTTGGAAAATGTGACAAGAGTAGACAGTAAGTCTCACTGGGACAGTATGAGACTACTATTGAATGTTAAAACCGTGTAATGGGATCGGTCGAATTGGTAATGAGACTATCAAAAAATCTGGTCCTGGTCCCAGACACGGTCACACGGTCAGTCTAGTGATGTCTAATCTTATATAGTTATTTAGAGAGAATCTCAGAAAGAGCTTGATTCTAAGAATAATAGCTCTGAGAAGCTCAATCTGTAGTTTCTCTCTTATAATATACTTAAGCTCTGCTCAGAATACTACTGAGTTAAGTTTATAGAGTTCTGTAGTTTCTTTATCTTCTCTTTATAAGAAGACTCTGATACAGTTTCTAATCAGTACTGTTACTTATCTGCACTACACTAAGCAGCTGAAGAAAGAGAGAATTTTATATACTTATTTCTTCTCTTACTCTTATTATTTCTGTTATATCTGTAATAATAACTTCTATCTTTCTATAAGTATTATCTATTCTATAAGAAGACATTGTGTCAGTTCTGATAAGAAGCTCAGATACTTAAGTAGTTCAGAGTGAGAGTCTCAGAGCTTTAAGTATTAATGAATTTTATTAAAACTAAAGAGATCTCTCTTACTTATCTATAAAAGAAGATAAAAGTATCATAGTTGATCTACTGAAGTCAACAAGAGTTAAAGAATATGACTTAATTTTGATCATTGTTAACTGCTTTACAAAGATGATTAGATATATTTCTACTTATAAAAAGATTAAAGTACCGCTCCACCACGAACTCGCTCGATTTTTCGAATAAGAACCCGCCGATAGATCCATCGAAAAGCCCTCAATCATATGAGCATTTTGACCCCATCGCCGACTGCATACCCCGTGTGGTGGTGGAGTTATCCAGCCAAATGTGAACCAGACGTCGTTCGGAACTCCTGCGTGGGATTATCCCCCATTCTCCCCTACCACACCACAACCCCGGGCCAAATTGCCATACAAATTGTAAGACAAAGAGACCTAGCCATATGCACCAATCTTCTTGATTTTGGAAGATCCCTGATCTGTAATTGTGGAGATATCTGAGAAGCAACTTCCGTGAAAACCCTGTCCATCTTTGATGTTTCAAAACATCAACACCAAGTCTCACCCTCGTACCGCCCTTCCTAATCTGGCCCATCCCCAGCAGAAAAATACAAAAAGATACCTCAGTGATAATATCAAGCACATAATCAACAGCCACTTCTGAAGTGCAACCTCCGCGGTCTGTCTTCAGTGTATCTAGACATCAATGCCAAGTCTCACCCTTGTACCATCCATCTCAATCTGGCTCATCCCTGACAGAAAAGTACAAAAAGATACCTCAGCAACTGTACTCAATACATAATCAGCAGACACAACAACTATAAAATCAGTATATCTCAAGGTCTGACTGAGCCTTTGATCCCTGCACAGTGAGATATATTAAATCTAGTTTTAATATCTCAATATTTAATAGATTCTGTAAGAAATTGAGAACAGCAACACTAGATTTCTATTAAATTTAAGAATTAACTCTATATTAATATAATCATTGACAAAGTCTTCTATTTTAAGATATAAATAACCAGTTTCTCTACATCTCACTGACAATATTTACATTATTATATAGAAACAGACTTATATTCTCTATAATATTAAGACTCTGAAGAGGAAAAGTCTTGATAAAGAGTATACAGTAGTGTATATCTTAGCAGTTTCTATCTCATTCTTCTACAGCAGTTAATACAAAAAAAAGATTTTAGAAATAGTTTTTTACTTCTCTTGAAAAAGTAAGATGTTTTTCTCTGAGTTTTATACAATATTCTTACAAAGAATTAAAAACAGAGTTATTTTCTGTTATAATTTCATATTCTTTTAAGTAAGAATTACTTTTTCAGTGACTGAAGAGCTTTCATTAATACTTAATTCTTTTTTACACTCTTTATTAACTGGTTTAAGTTGCACACTTGTTGTGTGAGAAGAATTGAATAATTTAGAATAAAATTGAATAGTTTTAATTAATTTCTC